TGGGTGAAAGAGGTCAAAAGGTACAAACTTCCAGTCATAAAATAAGTCACAGGGATGTAAGGTACCGCTTGGTGTCCACAGTTCATACTATATTGCATATTTGATAGAGTTGCTAATAGAGTAGACCTTAAAAGTTCTCATCACAAGAAAGAAAGTTGTAACTATATATGGTGTTGGATGTTACACTACACCTTATTGTGGTGAGCAATCTGCAACATCTATGCATACCAAATCATTAAATTGTACAACTGAAACAATATGTCAGTTATACCTCAATTTTTAAAAAGAACTTTGCCCTTCTGGTCTCTGGTTCTCCACCTTCTTGCCATGCCATCACGTCCGGGAGAAGTGAGTGGTCTGAAAGGTTGAGTCTGATGTGTGTCTCCATCTTCAAGCCCAGTTCCTGTGCTAAAAGTCAGAACACTGTGGACATTTGGGCAGGCAGGAGAAATACCTTAGAAGGGTCCCTCACCCACCCCGTGGACTGCTACAGCTGCCTCTCCACTTTCTCCACTTACAAAACACTTCAAGGGAGACAGAAGTGGGGTTTACAGCTCATAGACTAATTGTTATCCTAGATAAATCATAGCCGAAATATCCACGAAAGTACGCTGATCAGCAAGAGTTGAGCCTATCACCTTGGAAATGTAGCCAACTATATAATGAACACAAACAAGGAAGAAGCTGTATCCCTGGCAACTAATACAGAGCCTGACACACAGTAGGAGCACAGGTTATTTGTTGAATGAACAAGTCATAGGGCAAAGACCTGATAAAAGGTAACTTTAAAATCTGGCTCGGCAGGACACCTGACTGGCTCAGTCTGTAGAACACGTGACTTGATTTCCGGGTTGTGATGCCCCACGTTGGATACAGAGATTACTTTAAAAAATAAAAATACTAAAAAAAAAAAAAAAAAAAAAAAAAATTTTAACCCTTGGGGTGCCTGGCAGGCTCAGAAGAGCATGTGACTCTCGATCTTGGAATTTTAAGTTCGAGCTCCATGTTGGGTGTAGAGATTAAAAATAACAAATCTCGGGGTGCCTCAGTGGCACAGTCGGTTAAGCACCCAACTCTTGGTTTTGGTTCAGGTTGTGATCTCAGGATCATGAGATCAAGCCCCACACTGGGCTCCACACTCAGTGTGGAGTCTGCTCGGGATTCTTTATACCTCTCCTTCTGCCCCTCCCCTCCATGCTCGCTCTAATAAATCTTTAAAAAAAATTTAAAAATCTTTAAAAAATTAAAAGCTGGTTTGTCTGGTTTGCTAAGAGTGTTTATGTAGGAATGTATCCCTTTTTCCTGTATAATTACCTCTATCCTGTTACAAGGCTCTTGTTCTGTTGTATGGATCCTAACTGTAAGCATCTGGGATACACAAGACAAATAAACGCAGTGGGTACCAAGGTTAACCTTCATTATAACAAAGAGACAAACCTTCCAGGTCGCCACACAGCAGAAAAATGTATCAAATCAAACTTTTGGATAATTCATAGATTATAAAAAAACTAAAATCCTTACTATACTAACACTACAAATTTTAGATAATAACCAGTAAACATGGCAATGCTTTAATCAAGCAAAAAAACTTCAAAAGGATGTAAAGAACGGCCAGCACGCCCCTTTCTCTGGGCTTTACTATCCCGCTCCCACCTCCCTCCACTTCCCCGACATTCCTTTCTGGGCGGCCTGTGCCACAGGAGACTGACACAGGCTGTGCTCTGGATGAAGAAACCTTGTAGCCACTCCTGTTTTGACCCGTGTATTTAGCTGGACTTTCATCCACTATCCACGATCATTCACCATTGTGAATCATGGCCCTTCAAGTCTTGGTTTCTTGGAAAAATGTAACTGGTTTCTCCTTTTGAGGATTTTACGGCTCGACACCAAGATAGTAGAGGCGGCCCCTACCACTGCTCGGGCCACCAGAGCCCCAACCGCCACGGTTCCAGGCCTGGCGCGCGGACCCAGGGAGCCCAGAGCAGCCTCCAAAATCCATCCCCACACAGCCTCCCCCTCCCAAGCAGCTGCCGGCTGCCAATCAAGCCAATCAATCTGCTCTGCCTGGGGATGGGGGGGGGGGGGGCTCCCTGAGGCTCTGTGGTGTGACAAGGCAACAACTGAGGCAGGCACGTGAATCTTCGTAAACTTCTCACTTGATGGCTCATCGGCTGTCACTCTCCACAAAGCCAATCACAAAGTTTTATCAAAACAATTCATTATAAACTCAATATTCTTTAAAAACTTTGATGCTGTGACAGTGCAAACAGCATTCATTTTATTGCTCAACTGCGGCATGGGCACATACATAGTTAATTTTTTTAAAAACCATTTATACAGATGTTATTGATAAAGCTCATGTAACAACTGAGTGAAAATACAAAGAATATCAAAGCTAAAACACTCTGTAATAAATACAAATACAATGAAAATGATAAAACTTTGCTTTTAAAGTCAGTTTGAGGGAAAGAAGAATATTACATCAAGTGAACTAATTACATCTAGTAAGAAAACAACTCAGCATTTGGTACACTCATCACCCGAACAGAAGAACATCCGGCCCCACACGGCGCCCGCTGACCGCGCGCTGCTGCTTAAATACAGAAGCACGCCGCTCTATCAAACTACAGACGACTAGAATCGTCTCTAATTCCCAACAATGCAACCAGTTCAACGCCCTGGAAGTTCAAAGCGGACTTAGTGTTGTAAAATAAAGCGAATTACATTGTACTTAAAAGGAAGGAATTCTGTGCTCTGAACCATAAATGCTAACAATTGAAAAAAAAAAGTAAAAACCCATTCAGGGCAACAAACTATGTGCAAAACAAAATGTACACTATACACAGCACTGTTTAAAAACTCTTTACACCAACAAATTAGACCCTCTGAAACAGAACTCACCTCTGTACTGCATATGAGCTCTACAAATAATCACTGTTCGTAATTAAGCATTCATGGTGGAGAGGCCGTGTATGGAAACGTGACATCACGTATCTGAAATAACACAACTGGAGGGAGGGATTAGAAAAAACCCAGCTAAGAGGGACATGTGGAAATAAATATTCACATTACATATGAGGTGCAAGTCCCAGATTCAATGACACGGTGGGGGTTTTGTTTGCTTATTAGCACCTGTTTGGAAGTCATCAGGGAACATAATTTTGAAAATGAAATCTAAATCACGTCTTTCTAAATCACGGTGATACCACAGACTATTAGGGTCGATTTCTTTTAAAGCTCTATTAAGTCATTATTATAAAGTTAAAAAGGCACTCAAAAGCAATGGTATTAGCCTGCTTTATTGTACATTATGATAGTCGCATTCATTACTGCATCCGTCAGTTAGGACATCTCTAAAGTGTTCATCATGTACTTACTTTTTGGAAGGTTCTAAGAGTAGGCACAATTACACTGCACTAGTGCTTTAATATAATATAAAAGAGACAGAACTACAACCAATATGGTACTATTGTGAAAGCTGAAAGCTGATAATCAAATAGTTCAGAAACCTTTTCTGTACGTTTCAAGATGTTCTTAGGTACTACTAAGAATGCAGTAGGAAAACACAAAGTGTCTGGGAAGGAAAAGGTCAGCAGAAGCACATTTACCACTGCACGGTATGACTATGACTAGCTTGCATGTAGCAGTCCAATTTGGCTGAATGAAATAAATTCAAATACTTAGAAACTACACAAGTAGTTCTCAACTTTTTTAAGCAGCAAAATTTCCACTTCTTTTATATCCCCTGCCCCAACCTCCCACCCCATGAAAGCTTACTTGGAATTCCAATACACAAAAGAGAGAAATTGGGAGCTGCTCTGGTAAAGGGGGTGGGGGGGTAGTTAGAGGCTCCTGCTCAAATACCAGCTAGGCCTTTCCTCTCCCTTTCTGTCCCTCCTCTCTTAGACCATTACTTCTGAGGCACCTCTGAGGAACCCCTTGGCTCATGAACACAGACTGAAAACCAATCCATCAAACGAAAGAACACAAAGGACCTATTCACTTGATAATTAAGCTGCAAAATTTCAACAGAGCTATCATCAAAATTTGCCCCTCTTGATTCACGTCAGTGTAAGAAAAAAAATATATATATATATAGTGCAGACTTCTGACAGCTGAATTTAAAAATCCATCCATGATTTCAGAGTTTTTCAATCCTTAACTCCAGAATTTTGGTTGCCTTCTGGATTATGCAACATGCCACACACCTTGAAAGCTAAATCTGGATATTTCAAAATCAGATGCTGATCAACACCAAGGGAACTGGGATTCCCTTACCTCCAAATTAATTCTTCAGTTATAAAGTAATTTATACCAGAGATTTAGAATCACTATTTCTTCAGTAATCCTACCCCCTCTCCTACCCCACCCCCACCCCACCTTCATTTTATTAGGTAAAAACAGGATTTTCTAAGCTGCCTGAATAAAATTTTTCCTTTGTAAAAATTTTAGCTCATGAGCAGCTAAACGAAGATTCTGGATGGTTTACTTGATAGAAACTTAGACCGTAATTAAAATATAAATTAGGTGCACTTGTCATAGGAGACTTTGGTTTACAGAAATAGTATTATATATATTAAAGATAAGCTGACCCAGCAAAAGAATGAAAATCCCATCCCAACCACACGATCTGAGGAGCTATAAAAATGCAGTATTTCCATTTAAGATGAGAAGTAAATCCAAAATACCTGATCATATTGATTCAAGATAAAAAATTAGGATTTTTTTTAAAAAGTCTCTTAAAAACAAGGAGCCCCTGAATGCATCTGACTATATCAATAAGCTTCTAAGTTTAGACTAAATGGTTGCATTAGGAATCTGACAACCAAAATCATGTGGCTGTATTCCAGGAAGTTCGTACTTGAAAAATATACAAAAGACTCACTTAGTCTAGGTTGAAACATATAATGCTTTTAAAATACGTTTTGCTATAGAAAAATGTAATTAAATGTGTAAATGGCTTATTTTTTTTTTAAGATAATGATTCCTTTAGCCAATTGTTTACAAAGGTAGAATAATTCAAAATAATTTTATTTCTTTTTTTACAAAGAGCAAGTACAGGAGCTGTTCAAAATCATGTATTCAATCAAAATGAAATGTGATGTGTACCGACTGCTGAAGGTGTCTTGATGTTTGAGAGACTTGAAATCTGTGGAGCGATTTGAATAGATTACCTTTTATAAAAATAGTAGTAGTCTTTAAGTGTAGAATACTGCCTAACTCTGGATATGTAGGAAAAGTCAGCATTCTTTAGGTTCAAGATATTAATTTTAAATAGCAGCTGAGTATGGCCTCATGGCAAAGCATAAAGACCTCTTTTTTTTTTCCTTGAAAAGGAATTTCAAAATTGTCCTTTCCCCTCACAGTGTCCTAAAAAACTTTTTAAGGGGGGGGGTGGGCATTTTCCTGTATTTCCGCATTCCGCGAAACTTTGCTGAAAGGAGGCTGGCGGTCGGGGTATAAATAGAGTCCTGGGGAAATCCTTGAAGTCTGTCATTCCACAGCAAACCCACATGTTTCTTCGATGGCTGTTAGCAGCTTTTCATATAACTTTTCATAGCTTTCATAGGGCGGAATGTCTATTCGATTGAAGCTGTAAATAAGCAAATCAGATGGACAGAGTTCACTGAGAATAAGCAAACTGGCCTAGCCTAGCAAGTGTGATATTATACTAATTCAGGCACATCACTTTTCATGACACACATAAAAATTAAAAGTTGTATTTCTCTAAAGCAGAGACGTGCCACTTTCAGGTTTTCCTACCAATTTCTGAATAATCTTAAATCATTTAAAAGTGGCTTATTCCTTTTAGAGGTCCTTTTAGTAGTAAGAACAGCAAATGAAACATTAAACTGGTTTAAAACTAACACCTATTGACATGGAATGAGGGGGAAAGCTCCAAAAATAACTCACCAAGTATGGGCTTTGGGCAGGTTGTTGGTGCAGGCATCAATCTGGTGAATGGTGAAGAGTCGTGGGCCTGCAGCACCTGCCGAAGAAGTCAGTGTGGGTCACGTCACTGTATTAGTCTCCAAAATCTTAGAAAAACACTGGTACATAAACCACGGGGCCTAAAGGATGCGGCTACTGGTGACTCCACTACCAGCCACCAAGGGCAGGAGGAAAAGAATCTGGGTTTTGAAAATTGGAATTGACCTTGGGTAACACTGGATTCCTTAATATGCTAGCATTTCAAAAGTCCAGGATTAGAAATCCTTTGCCAACTTCTATCTTCTATTAAAAAAATTGATATGCCAAAAGTATGAGAAGAAAAGTAAATGGATAAATCCAAGGTCAAATATATATACACACATTCAAAAAGATAACCACGGTTTCGTGCCTCAAACTTGGCCAACAGCAAAAGATCAGCAGTCCATGGCATAAATCTCAGTTAACATAAGACCCTCCATAAAAGTGTATGTAGAAATATAGCTTCACTTTACACATCTTGGTAGTCTGTTAGTGAGTTCTCCAAATAGGGAATGTAAGCACAGCTCAAAGGCCGCTCTCCCCGGGACACCTGCCACGGGCGCTGCAGGTAACACGCCGGATCCTGTGCCAGTCTTGCTGTGCGCTTCTCAGCCATGGCTTCAGACGGAAGGAAGCAGCTGCCACCCCGGGAAGCCCCACAGTCCTTGGCGATACTACCAACTCATCCCCAAAGTCAACAGCTATGCCGAAGAACAAACAAATGGTCTGACACCATGTAGTAAGGAAAGCGCTCGGGCCAGACAAACGGCTTCCACAAATGCACACTGCCTCTTTCTAGTAAAAGAATAAAAAAGTTGAGGGAGGAGGCATCCCAAGTGGGTGCAGGTTTTGCCAGATTGAGGTGTGAAGGTGGAAACAGACAGGCTTTCCCTGTGGAAATGTGCACCACAGGCTAAAAGCGAGGTGACCAAAAAAGGCAGAGCATCGTGACTAATGGCCTGGAGCGTGCGGTCCTCACCACAAGCACAGAGGACCCCAGTGGAAAGGGCTCTTGGGAGGGGAACAAAAGAAAGGAAGGAGATGAAGGTATCAAGACGAGAGACTTACAGATACGAAACAGAATGAAGCCCACGGTTTGTAAACTATATATATAAAACAAATATTGATGCCCTGCCCCCCAATCCTCTGAGGCCGGCCATCTGGGTTCTACCTTGTAAAGCTTTGAAGCCCTGCAGAGGCACTCTAGATGATCCTGTCACAAACTGAAGTAACCGCGCTCTTCGCTCTTCATCAAAAAACTCCACAGCCTTCCAGAACCACTTGACGACATTGCTGTCTGGTGTGCAGTGTTTTAACCGGGTGTTTACCTTCCAGTCATTAACATCTATCTTTCCAAGTCCACAGATAATGAGCTGTTAAAATATTGCACAAATAATGAGCCAATGGAAATCCAAGTTAAGCCCCAAATCCCTCAAACAGAACTTTAGATTTGTAGTGTCGGCTCTCATATGATGATTCTTAATCAAAGATACACATCAGAATCATCTAGAAAGCTTTTTCAAAACAGACACATCATCAGGTCCTATGTTCAGAGATTCTGATTCTGTGAGTCTGGGGTGATATTAGGGATCTGTATTTCAAAGGCTCCATGGACCTACGTACGGCAGGCTCCCTACTCAGGGTCTGAGAACCACCACTGTGGTGAACATGACAGGATGAAAGTCCCATATTTTCAGAGAATTCTAAATTTCTGTTTAATGGACAGAAAAAAGACTCAGAGTAAATACAGTTCATATGTGCCTTCCTTAATACCTGCATCATATTGAGTTTCAACACTTACTAGCTTTGGGATGTGGGCAATTTGGTCCACTCCCTCGGCCAGCAGTTTCCCCTGCTGTAATACTGGAGTAACGCCTACCTCACTCCATCCTGTGCAAGAAATAGGTACTGAACAAGTGAGAACATTATCTGTTTGATAATCTTTAAGTTATAGCAAAGTACGAAATACAGGACAGAGAGCTCTGCTGGACACCCTTCTGCACGGGCAGCACACATAAGCCGCATCGAAATCACTGGGATACCACTGACACATCTCCTGAGGCTCCAAGAGTAACTCATCTCAGTCAAGCGTTGATAACCGTGAATTATAACCATGTGCAGCGTAAAGCATGATGTAACTTGCAAATCCCACATGTTATAATTAGTTCTATTAATCCCATATAACACTAAAAGAAACTATGCCTTTTTTAATAAAAAGTTTAATTTCATTACCAAATGAAACTATGTAAAATAAACCCTAACCCTACTGACTAAAATCTCCACCAAAGCTTTGACAGGGTTCTGGAAAGATTACTAAATTATAGCCACACTAAACAGGGAGGTGGTTATCCAAATAGGATTACAGAAGTATTATTAACACAAAAGATATCTCCTCTTTTCTTCAGAGGAGTGGTAATTATACAACCAAATTCCTCACTCATTTTATGAACAGATGAAAATGCACTGCATTTCAGCGTTATTGCCATTCCTGCTGTGTTTTCTGCCTCCTCCTGACCACTTCCTCTGGCCATTTCACTACTGAATAGTTCAAGCACAAAAGGAATGGGGGATGGTACTGAGTCAAACCAAGCTGTTTGGATTCACTAACAGGTCTGTTAACAGCTGTAGTTAGAAACGCACTGAAGGGGCATCTGGCTGGCTCAGGTGGAAGAGCGTGTGACTCTCGATCATGGGGTTGTGAGTTCAAGTCCCACGCTGGGTGTAGAGATTACTTAAATAATTTTTTTTTAAAGATTTTATTTATTCATTTGAGAGAGAGAGTGAGCACAAGCAGGGGAGTGGAAGGGACAGAGGGAGAGGGAGAAGCAGACTCCCCGCTGAGCAGGGAGCCCACTGCAAGACTCCATCCCAGGACCCCAAGATCATGACCTGAGCAGAAGGCAGACACTTAACCGGCTGAGCCACCCAGGTGCCCCAATAAATATTTTTAAAAAAAGAAAGGACACTGACATTAATGAATAAAATGTTTTACATTTATTTGTAGATTTCAAATATTTATGCTATTCCTAGCCACTAATTAAATTTGGGGCCTCTAGTAGAATAAAACCTCATTGTTTTTCAAAGAAGCTCAGTGGAAATTCAGATGTATTTGTTTAAAGGTCTTAATTATAAACCCAGACTAAAGGTGCTTTAATAATCAGCTTTTAAAAGAAAACCACCACCAAAAAAATGGTTGGTTGTTACTGCTACTGTTAGTAATAAATATTTCCAAAGAGAGGAAATATATTTAGATACAGTTTATCCTAAGTGTTTTATTTTTTCTTAATTTTACTTATTTATTTGACAGAGAGAGAGAGAGAGAGAGAGACAGTGAGAGAGGGAACACAAGCAGGGGGAGTGGGAGAGGGAGAAGCAGGCTTCCTGCCGAGCAGGGAGCCCAATGCAGGGCTCGATCCCAGGACCCTGGGATCACGACCTGAGCCGAAGGCAGACGCCTAACGACTGAGCCACCCAGGCGCCCCATCCTAAGTTTTAATTATTTCTTTATGATCTTGCCCATCAAATGCTTTCTTGCAAAGCTTAGTGTAAATCCAACTGAACCTAGGCTTTTAATTCAAATAAATTTCAATATGGTGGAGACTAAGTAACGAAACTTAATTAAATCAATAACCACTCTGTTATACGCAAACAATGAATCATGGAACACTACATCAAAAACTAATGATGTAATGTATGGTGACTAACATAAACATAATAAAATTAAAAAAATAAAAAATAAAAGGGGAAGGTCAAAATCATATTCTGTTGGGTAGCGGGGCAATAAAAATAATGAAGACTTTAAAAAAATCAATAACCACTTAATTAGGGAATAGAAAACAACATTTACACATAAGACATGAAATCTGTTGAAAACAAGAAAGGATAATATGGAAAAATAAGACTGTTCACAATATAAGAGAGATGGCTTACTTGTAGAAATTCCAAAGCATGAAAGGTTTTTCCAAAGCAGGAAAGACTTTTCCTGTGAATAAGAATTCTCATAGCATTGCACCATAAAACTTCAAAAGCACCAGCAATATGACTTTCCTCTAAAACAGAAAATTCCCAACCTTTCCTCATGACACTAAATGATGTCATGACATTAATAACACCGACCTCTAGTTCCTTCTCATCAAATGTCTTCAGCAGATGCTGTGGAATTACTTCATTAAATCCTTTCTGCAGAGCCAGGAATTGCGCCTCAATGCCTCGTAAAAATCTCCAGTTCACATAGAGCCTGTAAACATTGGGCAGGGGTTTCATATGATCAAATATATTCAGATTTGGTAACTATTATGAATCTCTACTTTAGCAACAATACACTTTATAAGCACCTAGCATTAAGAATTTAGTCTACAGTCTGGGATGCCTGGGTGGCTCAGTGGGTTAAGGGTCTGACTCTGGTTTCAGCTTAGGTCATGACCTCACGGTCATGGGATTAAGCCCCACCTCGGCTCCGCACTCAGCACAGAGTCTGCTTGGGATTTTTTCCTCTTCCTGTCCCTCCCCCTCTGCCCATCTCCAACCACCCCTATGCTCTCTCTCTCTCAAATAAATAAATAAAATCCAAAAAAAAATTAGGCCACAGTCTAAAGAATCTCAGATTCCTGAGGGTGCTGGACCCTGAGCTGTGAGATAGTTCACTGTAAATTAAAAAGTGGTGACCTTCCACTAACAAAAGCAGCATGAATAAAGCAAATCAGAGAAATTCCTAGTAAACTGGAAGGCAGCTAGAGATTAGATGGGTCTGAAGTTAAAATCTGGAGGAAACTTCTTCCTGAACTTCTAGCATGCATGCCACCAATCAGAGAAAAGAGCCCATTCAACCAAACTGTTTTTCTGGTTTCACTTCAAAGTATAATCTGAACGTGTTGGGTGTTTCGTTTATATTTTGGAGGTGGTATGTAGGGAAGGAGGAGGTAAAGAGTCTCTTCATATCCAGAATGAGAACAGTAAAAGCCAATAGTAAACACTTTCTGATTAAATACTCATTGTTCCCTGGAGGCTTTAAAAAAAACATGGAAGATGTAATTTTACCGACAAAAAGTACACCAAACTACGTCTAACATGGAGCTTTATTTATATTTTTGACTTGAACTTATAACCGAATTGCCTTTTAAAAAAATCTATCTACCCTATCTACCTAAACTTCCCCACCTCAAAAATCTCAGAACTATTCACCTTCCAAATATGTCAACACTTCCTCTTCCAAATGTGGGGAAACCAATCTCTAAGAAGTTACTTAACATTAGATCCTTGGGCAGACCTCATTTTTGTTTGCTTAAAAAGGACAGCAAAACTGCGCATCTTTACAAAAGTTTTTCTCTGTAACTTTTTCTTTTTTAAAGATTTTATTTATTTGAGAAAGGAGAGAGCCAAAGAGAGACAGCAAGCACAAGCAGGGGGAGCAGCAGAGGGAGAAGGAGAAGCAGGCTCCCTGAGAAGAGAGCCTGACATGGGGCTCGATACCAGGACCCTGGGATCATGACCTGAGCTGAAGGCAGCAGATCAGGCACCCCTCTGTAACTTTTTTCTGTCAAAATTGTATCTGGTAGGAGACATGACTATGTGCTGAAAACATGACTGAGCCTAGGAACTGAGTAGTCCATGCTAGGTAGTCCATTCTATTACCACCCTTCTCCCTGTCTAGTTTCAGGCCCAGCACCAGTACTCCCTCATCCTAGCCAAATACTTTATTTGGTATACAGTCCTCCTGGACAACTTCTGAATAATTATAAAACAACAACACAGACTTTGTTCCCATATAATTCCTAACACTTGCCCCCCCTTTTTTTTTTGAAAGATTTTTATTTGACACACACACACACAGAGAGAGAGAGAGAGAGGCAGGCAGAGGGAGAGGGAGAAGCACGCTCCCCACTGAACAGAGTCCGATGGGGACTCGATTCCAGGACCGCGGGATCATGACCTGAGCTGAAGGCAGGCCCTTAATCAACTGAGTCACCCAGGTACCCCTAAAACCTACCTTTAAAAAAGAAAGAAAAGTTTATTATCTCTACACCCAATGTGGGTCTTGAATTCGTGATCCCAAGATTAAGAATCACATGTTCTTCCGACTGAGCCATCCTGGTGCCCCTAAAACTTTTTTAACTCTGACAACTTATATAGTCTCTTTCTTTTAAACATCCATATAATATTCTGTTCTATGTATATATGTAAATCGTTCTCCTCTAAAAACATTTCATCAGTTTTCAGTTGTTTTTACAAGTAGTATTTAAGTGAACATCCATATTTATATTTCTTTAACTACATGTGTTTCTATATAGAATAGATTCCTAAAAACAGGGCTGCTGGTTGAAAGGCATTTTCATTTTGATAGCTGTTATCAAACTGCTTTCCAAAAAAGCTATTCCAGTGCTTACTCCCATGAACAGTCTGTGAGACTGATGGGCCTTGCATATCAACCAGGACAATTTAGCCAGTAAGACTTAGGGATATAATCTACACCAAAAGTACAGTGTGCACATTTCTGTGTCCATGTGGTCAAGTTCAAACACCTACATTGGACTGCCATAGTTTTATGTTTAAAAGAACTTTAGTTACCATAGGCCAAATGATCTAACCCTATTTCTAAATTCCTCAATCATCAGGTGATTATAGAAAATCCGAAGAACGTTTTCTTGTATTTATCCCTTACACCCACGACAGGGAGGGTGCTGGTCACACAGCATGGCAGCGTCCTGTACGGCTAGCCACGGCAGCTACCCTACGACCAGCCCCATGCACCGCGTCTCCTGTTGTCCGTGCCTCTGTGCAGCCCCTCATCCACACTGAGCCTGGGCTGGCTTGTGACTTGCCTTAACAGAAAGAACACTGTAGGGATGATCTGGCCGGTTCCAGGCTTAGGCCTTAAAAAGGACAGACAACTTCTGCTTGTGCGCTCTGGGAAACCAGCTGCCCCACAGGAAGTGCAGCTGTCTTGCTGGGAAGAGAGAGGCCATGGGGAGAATTCCGAGAGGCCTCAGATACCACATGGGGATAACCAGGGAGCCCAACCAACAATGAGAACCGGACCCCAGATGGTGACCCAGGGGCCATTCCAGCCAGCCCCCCGCCATTTGAGCCATCCTAGCTGAGTGAGATGCCATCCTGGTGTCAGTCCCAGCTGACACCACATGGAGGAGCGGTATGCTCTCCCTACTCTTCTCTATCCCAATTACTGACCCACAGAATTGTGAGAAAAAAACAAAATGGTGGTGGTTTTTAAAGCCACTAAATTCTACAGAAGCCTATTTTGTAGCAATAAGTAACACGACCTAAATACTTCAATGTTTTTCTGTACTGCCATTCTAGAGCATCAAAACAATTCTCAGGCTTGCGAACATAAAAGTATTTACCTGACATATTCTTTTTTATTTTCTTCAGTAACAGGGATACTCTTGCCATTTGGTTTAAGTTCATGCTGAATAATTTCACCATATGCATTATGTTCGACACAGAAAGTATGGTCCAAAACACCTGTAATATCATTCTCACTAGAAAGGAAAAAAGAGAAAGATATTTAACTGGAAAATCTAAAATACGGATCCTATAGATGTCTTCACTGGTAAGACAGATAAAACTAAGATAGTTTTATGACATGATAAATACAAGATCAGATTCCTTTTGCTAGTCCTTGTGCTACCATACCTCAGGAAACATTTCACTTCCTAATGACAAAGCCCCCTGGGCCAAAGCTAGGCTTTACATAAGGAAAACTTCAATTACGTTTGGCTTTTAAGTAAGAAGCTCATTTGAATCTGGGTACCCCCTTGCAACCAAACGCCTGAGTGTCCCGTGAGAAAGCTACTTTTGTATACGGTAAAAGTAAGTATGGCCAATGTATATTCATAAACAAATGACCTCTGACAAAATAGAACTGAATCTTACAGATACCCTTTCCAAAGTATGGTTTCTACAATCACTACTTCAACAGGAATTCGCTATTCTCACACATGCAGGATTGGAACAGCACTTGCATCATGCTGAGGAAATCACTGCATGTGCTACTCTTTAAAACAGAATATACTAGATTTTTTTTTCCTTTTTAAAGTAGTAGAACTAACTTTTAGGAATCTGAAATATACAGGAAAGCAGCAGAAAGAGTGAAGTCTTAAGTGGTCCTAGCACTCAGATAATCTCTTTCAATATTCTCTGTGCATCATTTTTTTCATCCATTTTGAAACATGTATATTTTTTTAAGGCTCAGATTCTAACTATAATGAACAGATACAAGACTCAATACATACAGTATCCACACCAAACTGTTATGAAGATCTGGATCAACTAACTCCATGTCATCCAAAGTAATTGACTTCCCAAGCAACTGTTTATAAAAAGGCAATGTGAAACCACCATCAATATAATGTCCGTGAAACACAGCCATTCCCATTATTCGTCCAACAAAGTGGAAATATGATAAATGTTCCTGAAATCGAGAAAAGTTTATATAAATACTCAAGTTAGACACATGCAGGGAATTTTTAATAAAAATTAAGCAGCATTCATCTTTTTTATAAGTATCAATTTATACTCTACAATTTATTTAAGTGGAAAATGCTGTCATATCAAAGGTCAATAATCAATAGGGAGAGTTTCTATAGGGCATGTTCAAAATTCTCTCCATTGCTAAAATATCACACCAGGGACAAGCTTCTCCCAGAGAGTACAGTCACTTTGTAAAAATTATCTTTAGAAATTAAGTCCAAATTACATTCCCTACTGTAGCTTCATGAAACCACTCAGATCACTCTTCCTCTCCTTTTGTTACCTGCTGAGCCCTTTAACAATCCTGACTCTGTTGTGGGAAAAAAGCTTTCAATATTAAACCTCCCTATTTCCTTGACCTAACCAGAATCTGAACTTCAAAACACCATAGATTTATGAGCACAGATTTCATGTCTAACTTGGACCAGAGCCCTAATCCTGCCAGTTACTAGCCATGCATATTTGGGTAAATTACTTCACTCCTATAGGACTCATTTTCTACAACTGGAAAAATGAGGGTAATAACATTATCTCAAATAGGTCCCTGCAAGGAGTAAAATGAGATGATGAAGCTCATGGCACTGGACGGGCATACAGTAAACATTCAACAAACACAAGCTATTATTAATAGAATGACAGTAATGGGCTCCCCAAGCACAGCCTTCACCTAAAAATCTTCCCTTTATAAAATTTCTCTGCAATGAACCTAACATTTCTACTATGTTTGGATATATCTGGTCTTTCATGATAAACTGTTATTGGCATTTAAAATTTTTTTTTACTTCTCTAGTTAATAAGTAATCTTTAAGCTCATCTTTAAACCTCCCTTTTATCTTGAAAATAGGTGTTTTTTTTTTTAAGAAAATATTTAGAAAATAGACAAGCAAAAACAAAAAATCACCCTTGATCTAATACCTGGAGATAACCCCCGTCAGTATTATACTGATTTACACATATATGTATTTACCAAAACTGTATCATCTTATTTTGTAACTTTCTTTTCACTTAATATATCATGAACACTTTGTCATTAACTACTGTCCCATAGTGTCATTTTAGTGGCTATATAGTATGCCCTTGTATGGAAAGCTAATAGACATAATATAAAAACAAAATACTAATAACAGCTACTAACTTCTGTTGAGTGCTTAATAATATATAATAGGGCTAACAATGTACATCACTACGCTGAATACCTACTGTGCAGGGTCCCACTTAATTGTCACAACCCTTCTGAGGTTCAAACTATGTTTATTATTATTAACAATGATAAAATTGAGGCTTAATCATAAAGCCAGTAAGTAACAGGACCAGGATATAGGATCTCATGTTTTTCTAATTCCAGAACCTATGCTCTTAACCGTTAATGTAATTTTGCTTCATTTCATAATTTATTCAATCCCTCTCTTACGGACAAAGATGTTATTTCCAATAAGGGCTACTTTAAATGATGCAGTGCACATCTCTGTGCACAAATTACCACATATATCCATAATCATTTACTTGGGAAAATTTTCTAAAAGAGGACTTGCTAGGTAGGTTGTGACTAGGACATGGACAGTAATCCTGTATCATAAACTACACTGACATTTCAAATGAAAAGCATTATAGGTCACAAGTTAATTCACATCATAATAACCACCAATCTTACCGGATTAACTGCAGAATCAGGATTGATCTGCAAGGTATAGATATCATCTCTTGAATACTGGAAGAGGCCATAGTAAGGATTCAACATTTCATGTGACAAGAGATATAACCACTCCCTAGAAAGCAAGATAGGACACAGGAATTTTTTTGTTAATGAATATTTTCATTAAGATATGCTATTATTTTAGCAAGGAATTTTTTAAATAAAAGAAAATAAAGCAGCACTAACTAGTTCTATAAAATGACATTGGAAAAATCTACCATGCTCAAAAAAGCAAATGAACTCTTGTTTTGTTATACTGAAGTTACTTCTCACTCTATTTAGGGCAATTTTATGACATTTCAGCGTCAAGAGAGTATAAAGGTATTATCCAGAAGTGCCAACTACTCATTAGATGCTGCAGCCTAGTGGTCTGTTACCTACTTAATTACTAAATAAATTTCTAATCCAGGATAAATATAAAATGAAGGGAAGAATATGGCTTTGTTTCAAAACATCCATGTGGTCTGTACTATTCTGGTCCATTCCCACCATGGCCCATTTATACTGGTTTATACTCATAAATAATATAGCATTGATTTACTCTCACTTTTGGACAAGGCTCTGTTTTGTTGTTGATTTTGTTTAGCAAGGAAATTATCCCATTTCATCTTTTTTTGTATATACCTTAAGATGTACCATAATAAAAGTATGAAGTGATCAGACACTGCAAGGCATTTGGTATAGGTAGGAACACAAGAGCAAGCCTGCATTTGGGGGGTTGCTTCCATAGTAATTGGTTTCAAGTGTACATCAGTGTTTTAAAAACCACATAATAAACAGTACTATCACCTGAAACTTACTAAATCCTTCATGTTTCTCAAAGTATGAAAGGTTAACTTGTTATTCATCTTGGTAAAACAAAATCACTAGTCTAGGACTTAAAGAGATGTAGTTCTAGTCTCAATTCTTGTCATTCTTCCACTAGAAAAGTATTTAAATATGTTCTGGTATTATGGATTAAACAGACTGAGGAGCGCCTGGGTGGCTCAGTCGGTTAAGCGTCTGCCTTTGGCTCAGGTCATGATCCCAGGGTCCTGGGATTGATCCCCCGCATCGCATCGGGCTCTCTGCTCTGCAGGGAGTCTGCTTCTCCCTCTGCCCCTCCCCCTGCTCATGCGTGCGCTCGCTCTGTCAAATAAATAAAACCTAAAAAACAAACAAACAAACAAACAGACTGAATAATGTTTTTAGGAAACGCAGTGAAACACTACTGACAAGTAGTTAAAGAAAAATGTTTCAAAGTTCTGTAAGTGATGGGAGTCTAAATCAAATCACTACCATTTATGTAATACTGGAAAAACTCTAGAGATTAGAAAAGGAAGTGAGGGAGGTCTCCATATAAGCAAGCTTGTCAACACACTTAACAAACTCAGCTGACACGTCTTCCATGCTTTTTCATACACTATTTTAAAGAAAACCCAAATATTTGTTTTGTTTTACCAAGTATTTAGGACACACATGGTAAGCAGATCCCAGCTACTCTGGGGTTCTACTATGTAACAAAGAGCAGAAAAAGCATTTCGCTGCCACATCGCACTTAGCCTGCCCAAACCTTGACAGTAGTGAGGTTAAGAAATAAACAATAAAAAACTGACTACTTACTTGACTATACATATAGTTACAGCATTTAGATTCCATCAGCAGATAATTAACAAGTTTTCCCAAGAAGCATTCAAATCTAGTTATAAGCAAATTGTAAGAATTCCACAGAAACTATCAAGCCCTAAGTATGATGTACACATGATCAATTCTAAAATTCCAAACTAAAGAAACTATCTGTTTATTGGTAAAAAGGCCACAGAACAAAAATAAGCCTACAGGTGAAAACCAGAAATGGGACTTGGTGGAAACACAAATTTAATTTAGGCTGGATTTAGATTAGGGATAGCAGAATTATCATGATGGTCCTTAGGACGTTTCAGTACATAAGCTATAATGTTTCTGCTACATCTACATAAAGTAAATTTTTACACCTGTAAAAAAAAAATGTATGTTTGAATGTAGCATAAAAACATTACATTCTGTACTGAAATATTTTAAAGACCACTTATATACATATGTACACACCTGCTTCCATACTTACACGCACACACAGACGTCACTTTAACAAGGTTAAAAAGCATGGCAATGGGAGCAAAGGAAAACGTCATTAAAATCTCCAGACAGTTCCTAACAATGTAAAGCAGAGGGAGTAACACAAAATGAAGGAGAGACATGGTGAGCATGCAGGGCCCGTGTGGCCCACCACTGCCCATGTAGGGCTGCAGCTACTTTTAGAGGAAGTCTCGCTGAGCTGGATAATCCAGTAGGGAGTTCTCAATTACTCTGTGGCAGTACTGCTTCAACCTCATCACGAACATACCTATTAGGATATCCTCTGTATTGCAAAAATTAGGGAATGCTACACTAGAAAATAAGTATCAGTGAGAACGTTCACCAGGGGAAGTACCTTAAACCTGTAAATATAACCACATGTCATTTACTCATGAGCAAGTCTTTACCTGGCAACCCCTCCATAGTCAAGGCCTTCTTCTCCACGAAATTTTATCATTAATCGCTTCCACAGATCTTTTGGTCTCATTTTCATGACCTGCCGATATGATTCCTGAAAAAAATATTAACATACTATTGGTACTAGGTGCTTTAAACTTGTTATTTAAACTCTCCCTTGCATTCTACCTACAAAACATACATTTATTGAAATAAGATGAAATCTGTTCAACAATCAAATCAATGGATAAACTCCAAGTGTTTGAAACTTCATGAAACTTATAAAAACAAGATGGCTATAGCTTAATACTACTGAAATTAATTCACTTGATAAATATTATATTAACAACCTAAGTACAAAACTCCATATTTAAGTTCTATGAACCACAGCAATGACTACACACTCACATTATAGCATTTGATAAAAGTACCAAAAATTTTTAAAAGTTGGTTGACCTAATTCTAGGTCACAGGCACCAAAAAAAAGTAAAGATGAGAAAAAGAAAGTTCAAAAGAACATAAGTAATCATTTATGTGATCCTCATTAAACTGGCATCTTCATATTATTTTAAAATACAAATGACTAACTTACAAACAAGGTCAGAACTGTCCCGAGAGAAAAAAGTTCATCCTTTAGGAAAAAGGTTATCAAATCCCCAAACAGCTTTTACCCATGAATCTTCTAATGAGTGGGAAACCCCTGCTTTGGACCTCTGCCACTTACTATGGAAGAACTTTGAAGGTGATAGTAGGGCTATAAAGACCAAAGATAAAAGAATATACGAGAAAGGAAGATTTTCAATAAATTAAGGAAGTAGTCCAAAAAGAATTAAACAAAATGGGGCGCCTGGGTGGCTCAGTCATTAAGCATCTGCCTTCGGCTCAGGTCATGATCCCAGGGTCCTGGGATCAAACCCTCCATCGGGCTCCCTGCTCAGTGGGAAGCCTGCTTCTCCCTCTCCCACTCCCCTCTGCTTGTGTTCCCTCTCTCGCTGTGTCTCTGTCAAATAAATAAATAAAATCTTAAAAAAATAATAAATAAAAATAAAAAGCATTAAACAAAATGATTTTTTGACTTAGAAGTCACTCATCTTTTGGAAGAATTAGAAAGTAAGGGATGGATAATATTTGTGGTCTTTTTAAGACTCATTAACAGGGCAGGGGCACCTGGCTGGTGATGGAGCATGCGACTCTTAATCTCAGGGTTGTGAGGTCAAGCCCCACTGTGGGTGTAAAGTTTACTTTAAAAAAATATATATATTAAAATTCATTAACAAACAAGTATTTGCAATGCAGAGAATCAAGCTGAACCAACTGGAATATTTCACACTCTTCCTTCACACTCATCCCATTTAAATGTTTACCTTCTAGATTAAATCTCTGATATTACTGCCTTTATTCCCCACAATTAAAAAAGAACTTAATAAAAACTCTCCCACTCTAGAGAGATAGGAATTCCAGAAAGTATTCTTATAAAACAGTGAAACACTGAAATTTAATTTTTCTCTATTTTAAGACTTGTAAACTTACCTCAAAAATCTCTTCCCTGGAAACCTCAATGCGGCAATGACCAGCTTGAGGCTGTTGTTGGGAAAGTTCCTGCCGCAAAATTTTTAGTTTCTGAACCAGGTCTCGCTTGTACCGTGGGACTGTCAGACACTCTGCGTCATCGGGGCATAACGATACCACTTGCTGTTGCTGTTGGTCTTTCAACTGGTTCTGCCGACTAAAAGTAAACAGAAATGCTATTATTATAAATAAAAGAGACTGCAATTATACATTTAAAAAAGCGCCATACTAGAAAGTAAATCTACCTGTATAATTTTCAGGCCTTGTGATATTCTTGGCTTGACATTTTTGATGATGATAAACTACCTCCAAAGTTTATTTCTCAGAACCCAAATTTATAGAATCAAACAATAGAGTTGTATCCATTCAGCTTTATACAGCTGCTGAGAATAAATTTCTCAAATACCATTCTCCATTTTTTTCTGCTTAGTTGACCATCACCCATTTTAAAATTCAGGCACATGTCCAACCCTGTGCCCGTTATCTAGAGTCTGTCTCTCTGGAAGAGACAGTTTGAGCCAGTAGTTTGGCAGGAGCCCCTTTTCCTATACGTGCTAAGTCTAGACCACAAGAATGTGGAAGGTCACATGTAAGTTACTGGCAGAGAGAAATGAACACATTACAAACATGTCTAAATGCCTTATAAAATGACTACTTTTTTTATTGTGGTAAAATATACAACACATAAAATTTACCATTTTAACCTTTTTCTAATATATAGTCAGTGGCATTAAGCACATACACATTGTTGTGCTAAAGTGATTTCCAAATGTGCACATATATGGTTTACCACAAATACATGAAAATAATCTCCCAAGGACAGCATAAATAGAATACTTTTAAAAGGGTACATTGCCTACAGATATTTTTATTCTCCTGGCAAAAATATATTAAGTTACACCTAAGAATTTTTTTTTAAAAAACCTGATGTTATAATGAACTACTTAATTCCAATAACCCATCAGGAAAGAAAAAATCCAATAATTCACTATTGATGCCCATGCACACACTGAATCATTTTGGAGTTTAATTTTACACACAACAGACAGGAGCACAATTTCCTAACCTAAAGGTAAAGGGCGGTGGTAGCTATGATAAAATAAACAAAAGTAACCTTAAGGTCTCTAACAAATCGACCCAAACTTATTTTACATACAGTAATTCTTATGTACCAGGCCAAATTTTATTCCTGAAACATGTAACTTCCCAGAGAAAATACAGCTTTAATGAAAATCATAAATCATTATTTACACTATTCTCGTAAACATTAAAGGTGTTTTTTATACACATATAAACAAAATCAAAACAGAATATTATATTAAAGATACTCCCTAAACAGCTAAATTAATCCTATGCAAAAAAAAAAAAATGAACTTGGGTATACCTCATACCACACACAAAAATTTAATTCAAAATCGATCAGAGACCTCAATGTAAAACTGAAAGTCATAAAACTTCTGAAAACACAGAAGAAAATTTTCATGACCCGTGTTAGCCTAAGATTTCTTAGAGGTGACACCAAAAGCACAAGCCATAAAAGAAATGGAAAAATTGAACTTCATCAAAATTTCAAAAGATACTGTTAAGAAAATGAAAAGACAAGTCATGGATTAGGAGAAAATCTTTCCCAAAGCATGTGTCTGATATTTAGGACTCTAAAATATCTTAAGAATGCTAAAAACTCAAAAATTAAATAGATGAACCTCCTTTTTTAAAAAGGAGGCAAAATATTTCACCAAATAAGATACACAGATGGTAAATAAGCACATGAAAAGATGCACGTCATTAGTCAGTAGAGAAATGCAACTTAAAACTACAATGCGATACAACTATACACCTACTGGAGGGTCTAAATTTAGTAAGATTAACCATACCCAATGTTAGCAAGGGTGTGGAGTGACTACAACTCTCACACTGCTACGGGGAATGTCAAATGATAAAATCACTTTGAAAAACAACCTGCCAGTTTTTTTAAAGTTAAACATAAATCTGTCATATGATGTAGCCATTCTACTCCTAGGCGCTCATTTATCTAAGAGGAGTGAGAGCATACGTCCATATAAAAGCTTATACATAAACATCCATAGTTTTATCTGTCATGACCAAAAACTGGGAAAAATCCAAATGCCCATCAATAGGTAAACGGATAAATTGTAGTATATCCATATAATGGAATACCAACCAGCAAAGAAAATAAATGAACTATACACACAAGAGAGATGAATCTCAAATAATTACACTGGGTAAAAGAAAAAAGACCACATACTGCAGGAATGCATTTAATACTCTAGAAAATGCCAACTAATATATAGTGACAGAAAGCAGATCCGTGGTTAGCTGAAGATGGGGTGTGTTTTGACTGAATTGTGTCCAAAAAGATGTGCTGAAGTCCTAATCCTTGGTACCTGTGAATGTGACCTTATTTAGAAATAGAGTCTTTACAGATGTACTAAGAGGAGGTCATACTGCATTAGGGTGGCCCTAAATGCAATAAACTGGTATCCTTATAAAAAGAGGGAAATTTGGATCCAGACATACCAAAAGGTGTAGAATAAGAAATAAACCTTGGCATTTGTCCCGGTTCCGGACACAGAATTCCTAAAATCCTTGCAGTTTCTGGAGTGACAGACATGAGAGAAGTATCCTTTGTTCTAATATTTGGTCTTTGCCTCCAGTTTGACAGGAGCTCCTAAATCCCTTAGAATTTCCTGGGTATAGGAGCATTTTTCATTTTAATGAGGTGACTCTTGGTGGGGCCCTAGATATCTTCAGGATGGGGCCTGGTTGCTAGAAAAACCAAAGCTTGATTAGAAGCCTAGAACTTCCAGCCCCATCTTCCCAACCTCTGAGGAGGGGAGAGAACTGCAGTTTGAGTTAATAATTGATCATGCCTATGTATGACATCTCCATAAAAACCTCCAAATGACGGTGTGCAGAGAGCTTCCAGGCTGGAGAATACACTGAGGCACTGGGAGGGTGAAGCACCTGGAGAGGGCCTGGGAGCTCTAAGTTCCCCCATCCCCGCACCTTGCCCTGTGCACCTCTTTCATTTGGCTGTTCCTGAGTTGTATTCTTTATAATAAATGTAATGGCAAATAAAGTATTTCCTTGAGTTCTGTGAACCATTCTAGCAAGTTACTGAACCCAAAGGAGTCATGGGACCTCCCCAATTTACAGCCAGTCAATAAGAAGTACAGATAACTTGGTACTCGGGATTGGCTTCTGAAGTGGTGATGCTCTTGTGAGACTGAGCCCTTAACCTGTGGGATCTGACGCTGACTGCAGGTAGTGTCAGACCTGAACTCTATCGTTGCACACTCAGTTGGTATCCCGCGATCTGGAGAACTGGAAGGTTTGAGGGGAAAACCCACATATTTGGGTAAGATTTGTGTGTAGAAACAGATCACAGAAGGCCATGTGAAACTGAAGACAAAGACAGAGATGATGTGTCTATAAGCCAAGGAAGAGGCAGTTTTGCTGGCCACCACCAGAAGCTAGGAGAGAGGCAGGGAACAGATTCTCCATCAGAGCCTCCTGAGGGAACCAACTCTGCTGACAACTTGATTCTAAACGTCTAGCCTCTAGAACTGTGCAAGAACGAATTCCTGTTGTTTTACACCACCCTATGTGTGATACTTTATTACGGCAGCCCTAGGAAACGAATACAGGGGGTAGCCCCCCTCCAGGAGGAGGACTTAACAAAGCAGCACAAGGCAATTTGGGGGGATGATGGATATGTTCACTATTTACACTGTGGTGATGGTTTCATAGATGCATAATATGTCAAAACTTAAATTGTACACTTTAAATATGCAGTTTATTGTATGTCATGTACACTTCAATAAAGATGATTTAAAAAAAAATCCTCTGGGATGGGTTCAGTTATCCTGGAGCTATTTCTGATGCACTCATGGAAAAAATAAAAAATATCTACCCTGTAAAGCATCTTGTCTCTTCAAGTGTGCTATGATGCACCTTTGGTACATACCCTTTCCTTAACACTCCAGGATAGGTTCCTAATTAAGCACAGGGGTTTAAAATACTCATGTATGAGAATAAAACATGTCATATTCTTTTTTTTTCCAAAGATTTTTTTTTTATTTATGTATTTAAGAGACAGAATGAGATATAGAGCATGAGAGGGGGCAGGGTCAGAGGGAGAAGCAGACTCCCCACTGAGCAGGGAGCCCGATGCGGGACTCGATCCCGGGACTCCAGGACCAAGACCTGAGCCGAAGGCAGTCGCTCAACCAACTGAGCCACCCAGGCGCCCAAAACATGTCATAGTCTTACATAAAATTTCATCCAACAAAAGTAATTTATAATTGAAGAGAGCAGAAATTCTATTACATTACAAAAAGCATCTTTAGACTTTTCTTGTTCTGGCTTGCATTTTAACATGTATTGTTTCAAAAACTTACTTTAGAACTAAATGCAAGTTAGCAGAGAGCCGAGGATCTGTAAACTGTGTTGTTCTGTTGTTATGGTCAACGAAATAAACTCTGCCTGTTGCAGTATTACGGATCTCCCATCCAGGAGGCAGTGGACCAAGCTCTTCACAATTGATGTTGCTAAGATCCCTGCAAAAACAAATATAAAATAAAAAAATACCTCATTGCTGGGCCTGTTGGGCCAGGCAAGTGTAAATGACACAGAACAATTCCATGAAGTCTGAGAAAATGTATTGTTTCAGAAACCTGAGATGTTCAGCTAGAATATTTAATTCCCAATGGTTTAACAAACTTGCATATTCAAAACCCAATTCATAAATGGCTCAGGAACTTATCACATAGTCTACTATTTTAGTAAGTTCATTCCTGGGCTTTAATGTAATACAGATTTTAAATTAATATAAAAGCAATCACAACATTTGCCAACATAAACTGTGCTTCAATACTTGTCTGACAAAATCGTTTTACAAATGTCAGTGACATAAGGAATGAAATGTTTTGTAAAATTTCCCTTCAATTATTACTTTCATTACACATAAAATTTGTGTAACTAAATGTTCACTCCATATTAATCTTAAACTCTCCAACAAAGCAACACTGGAAATGTTATTGATTTAGAGACCCTGAAAATAATCACAGTATATATATTAAAGGAAAAATGTTCCACTTTGAATTTTGAAAGCTATAAAGCTAGTGAATGAAGAACCTTTTTAAGACACCTAAGGAAAAATGCTCTAAAGCTTACTACTACAGTAAAAGAAAAAAAAAAAAAAGCAAAAAGACTTTTAATGGATCAAAGACCACTGTTACTGTATTACACATTCTTAAAATACTATTATATATATAGACAAAGATTTACAGAACCTTAAAGAATAAAAACATGTCTAATGTAAACTTAAACTGTAACAGATAATTGTAATGATTAATCTCATGCTTTAAAAGTTAAACTAGAAATCTTGTTTTAAAAGTTAAACTAGAAAAAGATTTTCCTGAAATAACCTCTTCTTGGTCATGGTGAAGCATAATGATGGACACATCTAAGCACCCACAGATTTGTTGAAACAATGATTTGACTTCTGCTTATAGGTTCAAGAGACTGCTACAGAACAACTAAAGCTTAGAAAATACACTGCTAGTCTCAAAAGAGGAGAGAGAAAAAGTTCCAAGAATCCTCCTCAAATTAAAAAAACAAAAAACAAAAACACCCCCCCCCCACCGGGTGGCTGGAGCTGGAGCTGATGGCATCAGGCAGGTGGGCAGGCAGAGGGGTAGGGCTGCCAGAGAGTAGTTGTTAACTGGGAAACTCAGCCCCAGGCCAGCAGGAAGTTTGGGAAAGGAAATCTGGAACTTCCCCACTAAGCCGAGAACTCAAAGGGAAGATGAAATGATTCAGGAAAACTTCCTAAATTCCCACTTTAGGCCCACAAAACTCCAACCAATTAAAGATCAAACTCCCAAAGATCACCACACACTCCAGAAAGAAAAGTCATGATGACTGAGAGTGAGTGGAAACAATAAACCGCAGAATTAGATCCCTAAATACTGTCAGAGATCAAACAGAACGACTATGATATTCAAGTTAAAAAAGGGGGGGGGAATAATTACAAAGACAAACTATCAATGAGAGATTATTAAGAATGAACAGATGGAGGCGCCTGGGTGGCTCAGTCGTTAAGCGTCTGCCTTCAGCTCAGGTCGTGATCCCAGGGTCCTGTGATGGAGCCCTGCATCGGCTCCCTGCTTGGCGGGAAGCCTGCTTCTCCCTCTCCCACTCCCCCTGCTGTGTTCCCTCTCTCACTGTGTCTCACTGTCAAATAAATAAATAAAATATTTAAAGAAAAAAAAATGAACAGATGGATTTTTTAAATGTAACTTTTAGAATTGAAAAGTGATTATGGAAATCAAAGAATGAATAATTCTTTTGATATAATGCAGAATTTGGTTTTATATCATTTTATTTAGAATTTTATAAATCTATAGTCATATGTGGGAGAGCTCTAAAGAATGGGTTAAAAGAGCAAAAAACTGGAAGCAATCTTTATGCCCAATTAGGAAAAGATTAAAAATGGAATGTTATACAGCCATAAAGATACAGATCTGTACCACAAGACTACAGAGTCAGGGTGAAATGTAATGAATAACAAGGCATTAATCATGGTTTTAAAGAGAAATGCAAAAGATGGCAAAAATGGGACTTCTCAGATAAATCTAAGTTTATTGGATATCTTATAAAATTAAAGTGTCTGAGCTACACTATTTTATAAATGTCTTTGAACAGTGATGATATTTTAATATAATCTAAGTATTCATGGTCTGCTTTGACAAAAGGTCCTCCATACAAAAAGGCATCTTTACTTACAGGATCCTCCAAAAGATATGATACACATTTTTACATTAACAATTTGGAACACAGAGACTAAGGAAAAATAATCCAGAGCATTATTTTAAAGTTATTATTCAATACACAACATAAAATATTCTTAAACGTGTATAGAAGAAACCCTTTACTCATAAATGAAAAACTGACATGTTTCCTTAGGAATAAGAAACATTATCAAAGGTGGTCCCAAAATCTCTCTCAATTTCAACTTCTGGTGCCAGTTTACATACTATTCTTTCAACGGATAACTCAAGATCAACTTTCTCACTATTGTAAATCATTTAGTTTAAAAAAAATCATTTTTTATATAAATTTTAAATTATTTTATAGAGAAGTTCATTATTGACCTACAATTTGATAAACAGAATCCAAAACACTTCTTTTCCTAATTTATATTAACAAAACTCATGTTTCTAAAAAAGTTAGGCCCTTAGTTTTCAGTGAGCTTATTAATAAAACAAAATTTCTTCCCCACTACTTTTTAAACAGTTTATATTATCAAGAAACAGAAATGGCAACCTTGATACAATAATGAAAATGATAGCACATTCCTTGGTTGCCACCCTCAAAAGATTCTAATTAAGCTATATCACAAAGTAAAACATTTACATTATAATAGCTTCATTTATAAATATCAGTTGGCCCTTGAATAATACAAGTTTAAAGTGTGTGGGTCCACTTACATGCAGATTTTTTACGGAACAGTACTTAACTATAGATGTGTTTTCCTTTCCTTAGGATTTCCTTAATGTTTTTTCTGTTAGCTTACTTTTTGTAAGAATACATATGTAATACATATAATATACAAAATATGTGTTAATCAACCGTTTATGTTATCGGTAAGGCTTACGGTCAACAGGGGGCTATTAGCAAAGTTCTGGGGAAGTCAAAAGTTACACAGATTTTTGACTGTGTGGGTGGTCAGTGCCCCTAACCCTGCATTGTTCAAGGGTCCACTGTAAATACAGAGTATCAAAGCAATCCACGATCAGCTAGTCACATCTGTTTTTTATTCAAATGCAAGACTCTTGACAAGTAGAACGGTGAGTATAAGCTTAGGGCAGTAAAAGATCTCTTCACACTCCATGGTCTTTTTTTTTGGAGGAAAAGAATGGTACACTTAGAATATAAAATATCTTCGTCTCATAAAGGTATATATGCAGCTTACCAAGTTGATTCAGAATTTAGAACTCAACCTTTTTTGTAGCTTCAACGGAACCTGACACTTTGCATCTGTTCAATAACTCAAAAGAGCTAAACAGTGTTTGAAAAACTTATTGATATTAAAATGTATCAAAAATTATGTTAAATTACTAAATTGATCTGTATGTCATTCCATCTTCTTCAAGTTAAAAGAGAGCTGATATTTGGGTTAGTAAATGCATTCAACAAGGCCTACAGTTTAAATGTACAAGTTCCGGTATTTAAAAGAAATTTAATTCATAAGACACCACGACCAAGTGAGGTTTATTCCAAGGGTGCAAGACTGGTTCAGTATTTGAAAATTGATCAATGTAATGTCATATTAATGGAATAAAAGAGAAAAATCACATGATAGTACAGCTGAAGCAAAAAAAAGTGACAAACGTCCTAAATAAATAAGATTTGATTAGGTTATTTCTTTTTTCTATTAAAATGAAACTTTATTAAGGAATACATAAAAGAACATTGAATACTCTCACATTAGGTTAAAATAAATAAACCTTTTTTTTAAAAGGTCTAACTAAAAATTAAAATATCAACTTATTAGCCTTAAAAAAGGGGGGGGAGGGGATGTATGTTTTGTAAGGTTTTTATGTTCTTCTCCGGGTTAATTTTCAAATTCCTTAAAGACCCACATTTTCACCCTGATTTTTTTTTTCTTAAGGGTGAGAGGGTAGAAAGACTGGGGGCTGGCTGGGGGCAGGGCACTGGGGTGAGACTGCAGAGAAATAGGAAAGCCTTTCTACTAAATGTCAACTGAAATGACTGTCACAAAGAGCCTAACTTTTACATAAACCATTGTAAGTTGAAGATTAAATAATCAAAGAAATCCTAGGTAAAAAGGTATCCATCAGTGTGAAAAGTATTTGGATATGTTCTTACCTAGGCACTCTTGGATCATGCCATGTGCTCACACCAGTCTGAGTATGTAAGAAATACACCTGACCTTGTTGTGTTGTCCTCTGTTCTGTAAAATTAAGAAACACTAATAAAAACATATTCAGAATGTCCGAGTCAAAGACAGCTACAGGCACTAGGATGATAATTATATCAATAGTTACATTCTCCAAATTACCAATCTATTGCATTACCAAAAAATGCTTTATAAATCATTCTTTTTCAACTCAATACATTTTCTCTGGGAAACAATCTTATAAATGGTGATGAGGGTTACAGAGGCCAGCTATCTGAAAGCCAACTACGTTTATAATGTGGCTCAAATACTAAACATGTTGCTATGTAAAACAGAAAACAAGACTGTCACAGTACGGATATTTCAACAAAACAAACATGAAGAAATGATCTTTTATTTGTCTTCAAGTGGAGCCTGAGGGGAAACAACAGAAAGCTCAGAGGAAGAGGCTGACCAACCGTGGGGGGATTCTGCAAGGGCTTGTAAAAACTGTCAAAGGGTTTGCAGGCTGCTAATGCTTGTTTATTATGCCTAATTTTATATCAAAACAAGTTTTTTTCTTGAGAAAGGTGTTTTCTCAAGACTACCATTTAAACTCAAACAAAGGCAAAAAAGATGGAATTTTTTTTTGCCATTTTAAAAGGGGAGACTCTATAGCCAAAAATAGACAAAATACAAAAATAAGCAAGTTAGAAAGAGGAAGACCAGAGAACAAACATGCATTCTGGGGAGAAAAAGGTCAAAGGCAGAATTAACTCTCAGTCCTTGGGAAGAGAATAAGGAAGCTGGGGCAAAAGGGAAGGAATCTCCGGAAAAGTTTCTTCAACGGTGGTTTTCAGTCTTAATTGTGCTTTTAAGCAACAGAACCACTTGTCTTTAAACAAAATCTAATGAAAAATTCCAACATATAAAATACAACTATTGCTAATATTAGTATAAATTTGCTTATAAACCTATAATAAAGTCAATTTAAACTTTAAGCTTCTTAAAATTATAAACATAAGTGTTTAAAATTGGTGAGAGATGACAGCTGAAATAATTTCAGCCTTGGTACCCACTTTACTCCTAGGTTTTCATTGTACAAAATTTGTTTTTAATCCAAATCACAAAAATATTATAAAAATATAACCACCCCCACCTCCAAACAGCTTGCCTTATAATTTCAAACAGTAATGACAGAAAATACTTTATTCTAAGGTCTGGAACATTAATAACAACAGGCAAAGTTTACTAAGTGCTTTCTGTGCTAGAAACTGTGTCAGGCACTTCACATGAAACCAACACTTGAAATCATCATCCAATTTCCCCATTTTATGGAAGATAAAATTGAGGCTCAGAGAAATTAAATAATGAGCCAGGATATAAACCCAGGTCTGTCTGTCTCCCAAGGCCATGCTCTCATCACTGTGCTACTTAGGTTAACCTGTGCAGCACAGCATAGTTAACAAATTTTTAATTTAAGAGTTAAAATAGGGCGCCTGGGTGGCTCAGACTGCCTCTGGCTCAGGTCATGATCCTGGAATCCCAGGATCGAGTCCTGCATCAGGCTCCCTGCTCATTAGGGAGTCTGCTTCTCCCTCTGACCCTCCCCCTTCTCATGTACTCTCTCTCTCTCTCTCTCATTCTCTCTTTCAAATAAATAAAATCTTAAAAGAGTTAGAATATATTTAAAAAATAAAGCTAGAATCATGCATTTGCAGAACAGTTTAAAACACACTGTAGAGGAAAAATAAAACTCAAGTTAGATCAGGCGATTCCCAATGTTGGTCATTAGGTGTCACCATCAGCCCAGATATGGTTTATCTACAGGCTGTTGTGAGGGCAAGGATACAATTACTTTGGTTAACTTTTGGCAAGAAAGGAGACGACAGCTGAGTTCCTAGTATCTACAAGAGTATTCACAGGTTGTGATTAATTTAGAAAGTTCTGTATCCAACTAGAAGATTCAAGTCATCTTCCACATGAAATTCTACAATTTAAGAAATTATATAAGATTATAATAATTTTATACAAACACAGAAGTGACTAAATCATTTACAACAATAACCCATATCGTGCAGATAATCCAAAATTATAGACAATACAAAGATACAAATAACTTCAAAAGCATATTTCTGATGGCATTTCTAAATATGTAGGTCTGGAAAATACATCGCAGGTCTGACTTCAGATTACCATGATCACTAACAATACCATCTTACCTTTATAGAGTGCCTATTTGCAAGTCCCCTCGCATTGTTACATATGCTCTTCACGGGACCTCTGAGACAAGGAGAGGCATCATTCATCTCATTTCATTATAAAAGAGCAAAAGGCTGAGGTTAAGTGACTAGCCCAAGTCAAACCGCTGGTTAGGTAGTCCTCTACCACTTCAAAGACACTTCAGATTGGGAGGTTTTACACATTTATTTTCATGTAGAATCCCTAAACCCAGATTAATAACTTCTTTACAGCTGATTTTCTGGCTTTCTTAGCAAGCTGAAATGAGTAAGCCACACTTTATTTTTCCTCTGCTAGTCATACCATAGCCTTCCGGTAGGTCTGGAGGAGTATGTAAATGTGTCCTGCTCATGTAATTTCTATGTCGCTGTGACCTGACTCTCCTCTCGGCCAGCCTGGGATCTGAAGACTGTCCACATGTTGCACCATTTGTTCCACTAATTGGAGTGTTCTCATCAACAAAGCAGCTAAGAGGTCTGCCGGGACTTGAATATTCAGATGCTGGTCTGTTGAAAAGTAAGGGGGAAGAAAAGTTACTCAACTCAGATATCAAAGGTAGAGTTCTCCAGACAATGTATGTACTGCAGGAACAATCACAAGAGAATGGAATGATCAATACAAATATAATGATTTCAAAAACTCTGAATAAAAGCAAGCTTGATGCCTCTAAACACCAAACAAACTCATGTTACAGGCAGATTGTCAATTATGTACTTAAATCATCTTATACTGATTTGAATTATATTTTATATGAAATCCACATATATTTGTAGATGTGAGCACTAGTTTACAAAGCAAGACTTGACTTAGCCTCAGCCTACCTCTCGGACTCGACTTCCCACCTTTCTCCCACTCCACCTCTGCCACATTGACATTCCTCCTGCTCCTTGAACTTGCCAACACTGTTTTACCTTTAGGGCTGGAAAGGAGTTCTTCCTCCCACCCAGAATGCTTTTTTCTCCTACTCTCCCTAGGCAGGGCTCCTTTCTGTCATTCAAATCATAGCTTAAGCTTAAATGTCTGAGAGGTCCTTCCAGACCTTCAATTCAAAAGTAATCACCCAGGCATTTGGTAAGTACTTCACCTTACTTTCCCAGCATAGCAATTTTTATCTGTACCCTCGTTTGTTTTCCCTTACTAGAATATTTACTGAGAGAAGAAAGTCCACCTAGTTTGTTTCCCTATATATATATCCCCTGCACCTAGAATATATATATATATATATGTATATATATGAGTAGCGCATAAATATTTACTGAATGAATAAAGAAGATGGTGTGACTCTTCAAAGAACTTCTGGTATATTGACAGGTCATCCAAAATATAAGAGGATAATCAAGAGTTAATTTTTAAACTAACACTTACAACCACAATCAACTTTATACATGTGGAAATTAAAGTCAGTTTCATCAGTTAAATGAGTTAGAACGAAATGGGACTTCACTAAAGCACTGACACAAGTACACATTCATTTATGCTCAGATACAATAAAAATGTCTCTCCCTCTCCCCCCCCATCCCTGGCACGTGCACGTGCTTTCTCTCTCATATGAATAAATAAAATCTTTTTTCTTAAGATTTGACAGAGAGAGAGAGAGACTGAAAAAGAGAGAGCATAAACAGGGAGGCTGCAGAGAGAGAGGGAGAAGCTCCCCACCGAGCAGGGAGCCGGACCTGGTGCTAGACCTGAGCTGAAAGACGACGCTTAATGGACTTAGCCACCCAGGTGCCCCAAATAAATAAAATACTTTAAAAAGTACTTCCTTGGAGTTTCCAAAAATTATCTTGCATCCCCATGTCTTTATACATTAAGCTCCATGAAGGCCCTTTTGCCTTGTTCACTGTTACAGTGTAAATGCTGACCATAGTAATTGGCATATAACCATTTGGTGAACTGAATGATAGCTGTTACCACTACTCTGAATACTTTTCATCACCTTCCCCTTACCTGGTTAAATTCTAACATTCTTCAAGATTTAGTTCAGAAATTCTCCTCCTTCAGGGTTTTCCTTTGCAGATTCTAACATCCCCTTACCCCCCAACTCTAAGTTAGGTGTTCTCCATATGGTCTCAGAGCATCTGGTTCTTATCTTGATCACAGACCTTACTGAATGCAATATAATAATGTAATCATACCCCGACATGACTAAACAAATAAAGATCCAGTATATATATTTTGTTACAGCCATTCAATAACAGACTCAAAAAAAATTTTTTAAGAGTCCCAGAAATAAGATGACTTCTCAATTTATTCAGTTAACTCATTTAATAAATATTTATTAAGTACCATCACAGGCCCTAGAGCTACAATAACAGGATGACCTGCTAAACAATCTTTTTTGAGAATTACTTTTGGAAATAATATTGGCACTTGCTGTAAGATCTACTGATCTTGAGCAGTATAAACCAAGAAAGGAAATCTGGTAAAGCTGACAGATAAACAGAAAGTGACGAATTCAAGAAAGCAAAAAGCACAGACCCCGGGAAGACATTTGTATGTTCTTACCGTGTTGGGCGTTCCCATTGCGTAGTTCTTGTTATATGGTTTAGATACTGAATTCTTCCAGAGGCAGTTCGCCTTTCTTCCCAGCTTAAATAAAAATTGAGAGATAAGGCATCAATAGGAAGGTGGATACAGAATGTTTCTAGTACAATAAATGAGCCAGGAAGACATCTGCTATTATAAATCAGGAATGACAACTGAAAAATCAATAGAATACCGGAATTTTTGTCAGCTTATTTTAAAACTGTACAATGTATCTTCTGGAATTTTGAACCTTCTAAAATATTTACACTGAGGTGTGACTAATATTTTCCATCAGCCAAACTCTGAATTCTTCAATAACGTCAACACTCAATTAAATTATACTAATTTCTCCAGAATTTAGTGGGGGAGAAAAACCATACTAAAAATCACACCTAATTTTTAAAATTAACATAAAAGCATATAAAAGAATTTTTAAAGCATTTAGCCTACCCAAATTATTTTTTTTTAAAGAATGGTACTTCCTCCTCGGTAACTTTTTAATGCATGTAATATACAACAAAAAAAATAGGCAAATGACCACAGAAATGTAGTAATGTTAATATTTCCACCAAAACCCTGGCAGAGATGTAGAAGCCATAAAAAATGGGAAATAAAGAGATGCTTAAGGGGTCTTTTGCCCTGTGATAACAATTAAAGCACAAAATGTAGTGTTTATCAATTAATTTATAAATTATATACATGTACAACTGTATTATAAAATGTAGACCAAACTGGAATTTTTGTTTTTTTAAAAGATTTTATTTATTTATTTGAGAGACAGAGAAAGAGAGAGAGAGAGAGAGAGAGAGAGCGCGCGCGCACATGAGGGGGGGGAGGGTCACAGAGAGAAGCAGACTCCCTGCTGAGCAGGGAGCCTGATGCGGGATTGATGCGGGACTGGATCCCAGGACTCCAGGACCATGACCTGAGCCGAAGGCAGTTGCTTAACCAACTGAACCACCCAGGCGCCCACCAGATTGGAATTTTTAAATGATGTGATATAAAAATAAATGGGGAAGAAAAAGTACTATAAAGTAGAGCAAGCTTAGAATAAGCCTCACGTTGCTGTAATCTCTTAATACTGATTAGTTATTTCATACTAAACTTCCCATTCAAAATTACCACAATCTACCTCACATCCATAGAAGTTAACATATATATCAAGGAGCTAAAATGAAAAATTATGGCGATTTTTAAGAGTTTAAACAAAATGAGCAAATACCCTGGCTTGGATGTAAAATTTCATTATCAAAAATAATTTAAATCAAAACTCAACCAATTATATACTTTAAATAACTTACTGTATATAAACTACACCTCACTGGTGTTAATTAAACATAGTTTGAAAGTTAAAAATAAAGTCAGAAAAGTGTCAGCACTAGTGTCAAACAAACAGAGAGCAGTGATCAAAAGTATGAGCTTTGGAATCCAGGCTTAAGTCTACGTTCCACCTCTACCATTCACTATGCGGCCTTCAAGGCAAGTTTACTTAACTCCTCTGAGTCCCACTGTTTTTAATCTATGAAATGAATGAGGGTGACAACAGTAGCAGCAGGAGTAATAATAGTAGCTAATTATTTAAGCACTTAGTATGTGCAAAACATTGTGCTAAGTGCTTTACATGAATGATTTCATTTAATTCTCACAATTTATGGCATATATACTATTATCACGATCCTCTTCTGTAAGTAAATAAATATAAACCAATGCTTACAGAAGTTAAATAAACTAATTCATAAAGCTTGTAAAGAGTAAGGATTAGAACCCAGATGGTATAATTCCAGAATCACACACATGTGAATTAAATGATTTAATGTATCACAAAAAGTGCTTTTAACAGTACATGACACACACATGCTCAATAAATGTTTCTATGTTGTTAAAATTTTTACTCCACAAATCTCTATCCCATCCCTCTAAATGGAGTAATGTCTCAAATTCAGCACTTATATAACGTATATATATCGTTTTGAATAACAAACAAAAAAGTTGTTTTTTTGGAGATAAACTTTTTATTTTTTTTATTATGTTATGTTAATCACCATACATTCCATCATCAGTTTTTGATGTAGTGTTCCATGATTCATTGTTTGCACATAACACCCAGTGCTCCATGCAGAACGTGCCGTCCTTAATACCCATCACCAGGCTAACCCATCTCCCCACCCCCCTCCCCTCTAGAACCCTCAGTTTGTTTTTCAGAGTCCATAGTCTCTCATGGTTCGTCTCCCCCTCCGATTCCCCCCCTTCATTCTTCCCCTATCTTTTTTTTTTTTTTTTAACATATAATGTATTATTTGTTTCAGAGGTACAGGTCTGTGATTCAACAGTCTTGCACAATTCACAGCGCTCACCATAGCACATACCCTCTCCAAAGTCTATCACCCAGAAAAGTTGTTCTTTTAAATACATAATATTTATTGGAAAGTTGTATTTGTCAAGTAATTTGTCTCCTAGTCAAAACTCTTAAAAACCAAATTTAACATATCTAATTCATGGTTTACTTTATAAATTTGTCTTGACAGGATTCCTTGCTAATTTTCCAAGTACAAGGAAAATCTAGATTCTGGAACTGATCAGCAAATTTCTAAAGTTAAGTATACAATAAACACCAACTTATCTGTCATTATTTGAAGGATGTTATCAACATATTTCTCTAATGATCTCAGCTTACCCATCTGGTAAATCATTATCAAATAAACGACTGCAGTCCACAACTTGTCCTCCTGTGCCTATTCGGTCTCTGGACTGAAGACTTACTATAAGACAACAAAAAAATTACTAAGAGTCGTAAAACTAGAAAGATTTATTGCAATTTAAAATATATATCTTTAAAAGACATCTAGCTTATCTTATTTTAATACTTTAGAATGACCTCTTTAGCTTTTAATAAATTCTGTAATGTCTTTTTCCATGAGATTTTTCCCTTCTACTACACTCAAAAGAGACATAACACACGAAAGGTATATTCACACACGGAGGAACTGGAAAAGTTCACATCAGTTTGGGTTTAATTCTTGACACATCTTTAAAAAACAAACAGGGGTACCTGAGTGGCACAGTTGGTCAAACGTCCAACTCTTGGTTTGGACTCAGGTTGTGATCGTGGGTCCTGAGATCAAAATCTGCTTGAGATTCTCTCCCCCTCTCCCTCTCCTGCTCTCTAAAATAAGTTTGTTTTTTTTTTAAGATTTTATTTTTATGAGAGGGAGACAGCAAGCATGAGTGGGGGGAGAGAGGCAGAGAGAAGCAGACTCCCCACTGAGCATGGAGCCTGATGCAGGCCTGGATCCCAGGACTCTGGGATCATGACCTGAACCAAAAGCAGACACTTACCAGGTGTCCTCTAAAATAAATAAAAAATAAAAAAACAAAAAACACTGGATTTTGGCAATCGGGCAATACTTAGATTCCATGAGTTAAAACAGTACATAATCATCTAGTGTGGTATAAAACTACCACTATAAATTTGGAAGCAAGAGATGTAAGCTTTAGACCAGGCTCTAAAACCTAGTTTGGCACAACGACCTTCAACAAAACACTTAACATTCTTAAAGTTTAGATAATCTAAATAACGAGGAAGTTAGACTAACTGATATGTCTGAAGTCCTTCCTTGCTGCTCTAATATTCCTTAACTCTATTTTTGGCAATTCTCCCAAAAGATAAAACAGGAACAGGCAAATGTGACTGACTATAACCCAACTTTTTAAAGAATTAATCAGTTACTACATATAAAGTATGACATCTTAACACTCTTCATTCTAGGAAGAGTCTCAAAATTCTGAAATTTTCCAGCTCTGCAAAAATTTTGAAAAATCAGAAAGTTCAACACATTACTCCTTTATATGAATTTCATTTATAGGTAACATTGTAACCTCTCTCCTCAGTGAACATAAAATGTTATATGAAAATTGTACTAAAAAACAGTATTAACCAGTTCTTACACAGAAAAGCTAAGTGAAATGCTTATCTAGATATAATCACTGTAAACACTATGTGTTTTCTCATTAGCTTTGTTTAGAATAATATTAAGGCTCAAAATTAAGGATTTCATGAGCTTCAACTCCAGACTGCTATATTACAAAACACCTAAGCAATTTTTAGGTGGGTTTGTGTTTTTAAATGGCCTAAACCTAGCAATATATAAAATGAATCATAGAAATACTATGTTTATAAGAACACTGTTCATAACATTAAAACATCAGAAACAATCTAAATATCCAGCAATAATGAACTAGCTAAATTAATTATTTGTCCACCATGGACTGCCATACAACATTAAAAATGTTACAGAAATGTATACATGAACAACAACAAAAGATGTTTAGGACAAATTAAAACAGGTTATTTAAAATTCTGCACAGTGTAATATCATTTAAAAAAAAACAGAAAAGGTATATATATCAAGGTAATCACAATGATGGCATATTATGGATGTTCCTTATGTTCTCTGTCTATATTTTAATTTGATTTGATTTTATAACAAAAAAATAAAAACCTCACAAGAGATGCAAAGAATTGAGTAACAGATTCAAAAACAAGGGAAAGGATTTATAACCTTGAATCAGTCATCTCAATTTGGAAGATTTTTCTTTCAGGTAATACTCCAAAAATAGGATAATGCTAAGTGTCCAAAAATGCTTACAAGTTTCAATGTTACAATAGCAAAAAAATAACTTAAAAGTCCAGCAATTAAGTTATGATATATTGATATAATTCATCCTTTAAAATCAATTATAAACACTAATAATGGTTACAGTAAGTGAAAGAAAACAAAAATTTTATATTCAATGAACTAAAATCATAAAAATACACATATAAATGTATATAAAATTATTAGAAAGGGATATTTTTTAAAGTTAGTATTCTAGTATACTTTTCTCCATTTCCCAAAAGGATTTTATATACATCTATACATGATTATTTGTAAAGGTCTAATTCAGCAAGAACTGGAACTTAGTTTTTTTTTTAACTTATTCCATTTTTAAATGGCAGATCCTAAAGCATAATGTTTGAATCCAACATATGTCTACTATGAAAACCAAATTCACACAAAAGCTTCAAATTTAAACACACACACATTTTAAAGTAAAGCTTTCCTTTTTTATATAGTATACTCCATAGGTTTATTTCTAATTGCTGACAAAGGAAAGTCTGTTTTTAGAAATGCCAATTTATATCTAGTAAAACTATCTTGTTACTAATGGACATTAGTTGGCAAACATTACATAACATACCAAATCAAATAAAGTAAGAACAATCACATTTAAAGGTCTTATATGCCAGCATTTATTTTTGAGTTTTTTACTCCCTTCTCAATCTAAGAATGACAGGAATTCTCAATAAGGCTGTAGTGTAGATACTTCCCTATGATAACTGTCATAGGGCTTTGTTACATTGCTACTATGGCAATTCACTATGAACCCAATTCATTTCCTTGGGAAATGAAGCCCTTCAAAAGTAACTTCAGTAACTAAAACCTCTCTGATAGGTTCATAAAGCAATCAACTTATCCTAAATTCTGCTCTACAGTGAACTGGTAAGATTCCAATTATGTTTTCTTCTTTAAGAAGCCTCAAAGGAGCCCATCTTGGTGTCCTACCACACTACGCATCTTTTTTTTTTTAAGATTTTTTTTTTTTTATTCATTTGAGAGAAACAGAGAGAGCACAGCAGGAGAGAGGCAAAGGAAGAGGGAGAAGCAGATTTCCCACAGAGCTGAGAGCCCAATGTGGGGCTCAATTCCAGGACCTGGAGATCATGACCTAAGCCAAAGGCAGATGTCCAACCATCTGAGCCACCCAGGCGCCCCACATACTATGTATCTTCATCAAAGCTCAATCCATCAATTCTTGAGTCTCAGGAAATTTTGTATAAAGCCCTTCCTCTGAGTCAATTCAAGATAGCCCACGAGTCCCTTATGAGTAAGATTACAACCTCTCCCTTTTTCCAATCAGTATTCTATCATTCCTCTTATTCTTTTCAATTAGCACAGATTATTTATTTTAAAACTGTAAAGCTTAAACAAAGTTCAATAGAATATTCTTACTCAAAAACCAGCTGAGAAATTATTTTTAGAAAACTTTCAGACCACACATAAAATATGTCTTTAAAAGAATGCCTAGGGCGCCTGGGTGGCTCAGTTGGTTAAGCGACTGCCTTCGGCTCAGGTCATGATCCTGGAGTCCCGGGATCGAGTCCCGCATCAGGCTCCCTGCTCGGCGGGGAGTCTGCTTCTCCCTCTAACCCTCCCCCCTCTCATGTGCTCTCTCCCTCAAAAATAAATAAATAAATCTTTAAAAAAAATAAAAAAATAAAAGAATGCCTAAAGGATCAATAGTTTTTCACAACATTAGGAGCCTCTTTTTTTTTTTTTTTAACATTATTTATAGTTTGGGGGTTTTGTTTGTTCTTAATTCTTTAAATTAAGGTAGCCTGGAACATGGAGCCACTGTTTGAAACATTTTACGTGACTCATTTAACTCAAGCCAATACAATGAAGCTATCATTAGTGTACTTGGATTTCAAAGATGTTTAGAGTTTAGGTCAGTCTGAATGATGCCAAAATTTCACATGACTTTAAATTCCACACTTACCTACTATCTGTCCTCTAACCGTATCATTGTCATTTGGCCCAAGTTTGCACAGATCCAACCTCTGATCTATTTCAAATCAACAAAAAAAAAAGCAATTAAAAAATAAGCTGGTATCAGAGCTTCTATAGAGTGATGGTAAATTTCCATAATCCAATGGCAATCAGGCCTATCATTTAAATAATAATGTTTTAAAGATGAAACAAATATTTAAAATCTCTAACTACATATGTAATTAGTATAAATGTCTTAACAAAGTTTTGATAAATTCAGATTTCAAAAACCATAAGGCACTGGTGTATACATTACCAACATGCAATTACTTTTTCTCCAAAGATTTCAGACCACTTTGTCTGAGTCTTGGCTTGTCACTTAATAGCAGTTGTTCTTAAGCAATTTATCCATGAATCTTGATTTTCTCACGTACAACTGTAGTATCTACCTCATATTTTTTAAGGATCAAATTAGGTAATTATGTAAAACTTTTAGCACAGTACCTGGCATATAAGTGTTCAATAAATGTTAGTTATTAACACTGTTATTTTTTATCTAACCATTTCAAATGAGCTCCATACACACACACAAACTAAATATTAATAAAAACCTGAGTATAAACTGTAAGATCAGGATTTGAGTCTGTTTGGCTACTAACGCATTTAGGGGCAACTCATTTACTCTCTTATGCCTCATCTATAGAACAGACATCACACTGACCTGGTCAGTTATAATAAGGAACAGTGTCATCCAACAGCACATTGCTTTTGATTATAGCACTTAAAACTGAATTCTTGTACAGCTATATGCCATTTGTCTATTTAAAGAAGTTGTGAATTGATAGGAGGAGACCACACATTAGTCTTTGTATTTTCCACTCCACACACTGTATCAGGGTGTTCAACAAATGTTTGATAAATCAAATATTATGGCACATCAAAAGAGTCAAGTAAATTAATGCAATGAAACACTCACGGCAGCAGAAAGAAAACTCTGTGTCCCAAAACTACAGCACCTGGTTATCCAGCCAAAAATAGACATTTTTCCCTTCGCAAAATAAACGGACACTGCTAAATCCACTTCATAGTGGACTTCTGCAAAGCAATTCCTCTTCTCTTGTTCAGTCTCTCCAGTGAGTCCTCCTCCCTTTGCCAGCAGGCCCTTGCCCTTGCTTCTCAGAGGACAGGATCCATGCCTTTTTCACCTTTTATCACCAGGGTTTTGAACAGTACCTGGCACATTAAAGGTTCAATATATGTTGGCTAAACTGAAGCAGAGATAAGGTCGTACATATGGCCTGTAAGTCTTCAGTGTGCCTGCTGGGTTGGGTAATAAAACAGTTCGTTTTTATATGCTAGACCTTTACCAAACCCAACGTCCTCTATTTCCTGCTGGGTCACCCTGTCAACCCAGAAATACAAGAAATTCTCAAGTGCCTTTAAATTCCTCCGACTCGGGACTTCTGGCACAATTTTCTCCCTTTTTAACAGATCAGTATTTATATATCTGGACTATGATATCATACTACATTAAAAGGGGTCATCTCAATATCTAATATTCAAAGATAAATTTGCTCTTTTTAATCAATTTCTTCAGCTAGATTCTATGTGAATTTTTGTTTAGCAGAGACATCTGGGCTAAAATCCCATGATGATGAATGACTAGCAATATTTTTTATATTATATAAAAAAGAATCCTGTAGAAACAAAAAAAATTTGTTGAAAAAGACATTTTCATCTATGTCTCAATGGGAATAATCCCCCAAAAGATGCTTTGTCACCTGGTTACATGAATTATGCATATGCTAATTAAACTTGTCAATCCAATATGGAAATCATTTCTTATGTCTTGACGTTGGCCTGATCTTATAAATGCCCGGGATGATGGAAAACTAAGCTATAATTAAGTAGTTAATACAGCTGTCTTACACTCAATGTCTTACCTTCCAGAACTTTTAATTTTTTTCACCCTATTTTATATATCACTCTTATTCACTAATAATTCCCCTTTAAACATTCCAATCACCTAAATAAAACTCACTTTATCTCATAAATCCACCAACACCAGAGAAGGGTACCAAGAAATAAAAAAAGGCATATATACTTTGACACCCTTCTTTTTACTCTTGGATATCAAACCTTTCCTAACACTTACAAATTCACTGGATACTAAGCATCAGCTCTGATTCAGTTCAAGTTTCACATATTTTAAATGTTTCATTCTTTTTATAAAGTCCATAAAATAAATGTAACCAAGAACTTTTACCAATGTTTCAAACACACATAGGAAGTTAAGTTTCTGAATCCCTGCCTCCCCCCAAAAAACATAAATATATATATATATTTTTTTTTTAAATTTTAAAAAGCACTAGTGTCTACTCACAACCAGTGTCTTTGAGGCGGTTGATGGCATTGGAAAGAAGTCGAACACAACCAAGAAATCCAGCACCTTGTTTTTTATGGATCTTCTTGTGATTCCACACACTGATCGTAACTGAATCAGACTTTCCAATATACCTAAAACATAACATGACTGAATGAGTAACTTGGCAACTACAAGTAGTTAGTGTGAGATTTTTCTTTTGCTTTTGTAGTCTAAAGTCACAAATGCTTCAGAGTATGACTAAATAATGCAAAATATGTTTTGAGTTCAATCAATCCCACAGGACTGAATTTAAACTTTTAAAAAAATCTTAAAAGTAAAATCTAAAAAGAATTTTTAATATATCCTTCATCACATCTGCTACTCTCAGGCCGGGTAACAATTTTTGTTAGTAAAAAACTATTTTAGTAGCTAGTGTCAATTAACACTAAAGGAGTTTCTGACATTTCTTTCCAAGAACAAAAGTGTTACAAGAACTTTTATCAGTCACATTTTAAAAACGTTTCAATGACATGACCTATCATCTCAGAGAGCAGTCAGTTTTCAAGGGGCATCGTCAAGGCTGACAGACCAAAAATCTGACATACCTGTTATGTTTTAAATTGCTGTAGAACAAAAGCTGACTGTAACGCTTTTCCCCTGCTTCTTTCCTGTATGCAGGCCTTGAGCGAGCAGGACTCTTGCAGATTTCACTTCACTGCCTGCAGACAAGCAGAGCAGGGAAAAGCGTTACTATACTTGTCTGTGCATATACCTGCAAGTATGTAAAAGCTCTACCACAGCCAATTGTTCACATGGTGCCATCCCATGCAAAAATATAATAAAATAACATAATTATACCAGTAGAAACCTAACCCTATTTCATTGCCTCTAAGTGGTCAAATTTTTGGTCCAGCAACCTTGATCTTAAAGTGTCATTCAGTAAAGCAATAATATCAGAAAAATTCACCTAGTATATAAAAACGCCAAAACCACTTAAGTGAGAACTAAAACTTTTAAATGAGAAACAGGAAAGCCACACTTGGATCCAGCTGTGCTTTAAAGCAGGCCTATCCCCTGGACTTTTAATTATGCAAATCAATACATTCCCTTTTTAAAAATTAAGCCAATTTGAATTTCATTTCTGTTGCTTGCAAATGAAAAACTCTGAACTAGAATTTTTAAATATACCTAACAGACCTAACTTGGCAAGTATCTCCTGCGTGATACGTCAAAATTCTAGACCAGAATCAATTATTAAACAGCTAAATAACCCCAAACCAACATTAAAAGAAAAAAATCACATTAAATCACTTTCTCAACTGGTAAGCCAGATGTACAAGTATGATAAAATATTGATCCCCTCATGCCCTTAGCCCACCACTGGCATAAGCATCCTGTCAGGTGGCTGGCTGTCAAGGCCCAGAGACCTTAGGCATACATACTATGAAAACAGGGGAGATTCCGTCAGTTTGTGTCCTTGAACAACTTTGAGACAGTGAACTGCCTCCCTGACAAATGAAACTTTTATACAAAATACACTGTTACTGTATGAAGTCACTGAAAATCTGGAGTTGAATATTATATCAGTTAGTCTGCTCTAACCAATACAGAAGGCAAATCATAAAGGACCTTGTCAGCCATAGTATGAACTCTGGCCTTTACTCCAAGTAAGGCTGGAAACCAATGGGAGATGTGCAGCAGAGGAGTAACAAGATTTGAAATATGTTTTAACAAGATCACCCTAGCTGCTGTGTTGAGAAAGACCTTAGAAGCAAGGCTAGGAAAGCAAGGAGTCTAAGGCAGAGGTCAGCAAACCACAGCCTGTGAGCCAAATCCAGCAGAGCATAGGGTATAGTGTGATTTCATTTTCTTCAAGGATAAATTTTTTTTTTTAACTTTTAAGGCCATATTATAAATAATCAGAAAGTCTACATCTCTTCATTCACATTACCACTTTTCTAACATAAAGTCATCATTTCTATGGGCTGGATCCAACAGGCAGAGTCCCCTCCCCCTAAATCCCATGGACCTGACCACCAGAGAATCCCACTCAAATTACCTATTAGCACATGAGTATAATACCAAGCTCTGGTCTGTAACTTGCACAGAACCCCTGACAAAGAGACAAGTTTAGGCAGGAACACCCCCCACCCCCAGGTCCAGCATGAAGCAACTACTAAAGAGGAGACCTCTGCCCAAATGCCAAAGATTTGTCATTGTCGATCTCGGGGGCGGGGGGAAATGTAGAGGCTACTTCTGAACAACAGGCTTGAGCAATGGAAACGTGAGTAAGGTCAAAGGGGCCACAGTGACCACCAGGCTGAATGCAAACAAGCTCATTAAGAGACCTACCTCAAAATATCCATAGGCCTTAGCTGACCAATGGGCTACTTACAACCAGCACAGGTACCAAAAAAGGAAAATTCCATTATGTTCCCATACTTCTTCACCCCGCCCCTTGAACTACAGCCCCCCACCATTGCCTCCTGGTGGACAGTCTCTACACTTTGCTGTCCTGCCCACTGCTCCCTCCCAGTGTATTCTGTAAACTTCTCTCTCTCTCGTTCTGCCTTCGGTGATCCTCTCAGCACCTGTTCCGCCAGCCTCCACCTGATCAGGCTGCCCCACACTCCAGGGTAGGAACTAGTCTCCTGGACATCCTTGCCCCCCTCTAAGCAATTTTTCACATTATAGCCCAAGTGTCCACTCCTGGATATAACCGATTATAGTATTCCCCCCACTGAAAACCCTTTCATTGCTCTCCACTGCTTTTAGGAGAGGATTCAAATTTACTCATAGGCTTTCAAGGACCTTCGTGAGCTGGTTCCTGCTTACCTCTCTTTGCTTGTCCTATGCCACACTCCCCTTACATGAATTCACTAATGCTGCCCCTCCAAACTGTTTTCAAAGTCATTATCTTATTCACCTCTGGGTCTTCACACAGACTGCTTTTGCTTAGAGCCGGCCCACTTCTTTTTCAAGTAAACTCCCACTTAAGGTCAAAGCCTAAATGTCACTTTTTCTAGGAAGCTGTCCTTAACTCCTAAATTCATATAAAGAAATTCTCTGTATTTCCAGAGCACCCTATACTTCCCCATTTTCTTATCACACTGTTTATAATTTCCTATTTACTTGTGCTGATACACCACTTGGCTGGACACTGGAGGACCACATCTTGTTCTCTACTGCACCTGGGTCTCTGGCTGAATTTAAATCTCACTGAAACTTAAAGACATGGCTTAAAACAATCTGATTAAGAACTCAAAAGCTTAGTCAGTTACACAGATAGTAGCTTATTAGAGCTGTGATTTCAAATTCACTGAAGGTCAAATCAAGTAATAGAAAAAAATGTGTGACCTAATATAATACTTTTACTAAAAGCCTCTAACATTTGAGAATTACCTGTCAGGTACTAGTCTAAGCACTTTACAGGCATTACCTGTCTCACTCTTCTATCCGTCTTCTAAAGTAGGCACTGTTGCTGTAGTCAATGGAAACTGACACACAAGGGGTTAAACACTGAGCTAAGGATCACACAAGCAAGTGGTGGAGGCCGGAAGCTGCGTACTCTCACTTCTCTCTATCGCTTACTTTTTTGGTTCCAATTCATCTGCATACTAACTTGGAGGTACTGAGCCATAGCACTGATGGGCATACACAGAAGACTTATTCTGAGTTGTCTCTAGGTATCTCAGTGTTTCAGTAGTAGAGACAGGACATTTGTTCACATGTGGTTTAGAAAGTCAAATTTAAGTAACTGACCAGAGTCCTGACTGAGGTGGGTACTCTAGGGTGGTTCTAGAACTGTCTGAAGTAAGTAGGAAAGATGTCAGGCAGAAGGGTTTGATGGGAGATCTAAAATTCATTTTTGTAGGTAAGTCAAGTGGAACACTTTGAAGAAAAACTGAAATTGATGAAGGGTGAAGTCCAAAGCTTAAAAGACCAAAGACTTAAAAGAGGATATCAAGGCAGTCAACATGTTTATAACATGAGATACGCTGACAAAATGGTAGTGGTGTAGAAAGCATGTGATAATGGAATTAACGACCTGGAGAAAACTGCAACCTACACCTGGTTTCAGGGAGGAACAAATAAGAAACAAGACTATTACGGTCATCAAATCCCTGAAATATTCCTGAACTTCTAAGCCCAAGATACTCTGACAGCAAGGGTGTGGTTAAAACAGAAGGACTGGTGAAAGTACTAAAAAGGAATGGAAGGCCCTCTTGAATCCCCTCCCTGATCCAGTTCATCCTCAACCCTAGGAAGAAACCTAAGGTTTATACTCGGAAAAGTTCTCTACTGAGGGACACGAGGCACAGCTGAGGAAGGAGATAAAAGTCCTTAATAAAAGCAGGGATCCTGGGGTGCCTGGGTGGCTCAGTCATTAAGTGTCTGCCTTCAGCTCAGGTCATGATACCAGTTCCTGGGATCGAGCCCCGCATAGGGCTCCCTGCTCTGCAGGAAGCCTGCTTCTCCCTCTCCCACTCCCCCTGCTTGTGCTCCCTCTCTTGCTGTGTCTCTCTCTGTCAAATAAATAAAATCTTTAAAAAATTAATTAATTAATTAATTAAAAGCAGGCATATTAAGAAGAGGTTAATACAGGCAACAGAGACACTCCCTAGCATCCTTACACTCTTCAGCTCCAAGAACACTAGCATCCAAGAATATATAGCCCCCAAGCAGGAAAGGGGAGAATTGTCACAGTCACACCTGATTACCCTAGTGAGTAGACCAGCTCTACCCATGGGCAAAGAATTTCCAATCAACATTTAAATGCCTCCCCTTAAATATAAAAAGACAGAAACCCAAATCAAACTAAAAGAAAAAAAGGAATTCTGACAAAAGAAAGGCAATACAAACAACAGAAGAAAACTCACTTATTAGAGAAGATATTGCATCCAAGAAATAAGAGGAAATTATGAAAAAAAAGATAGTCAAAAAAACAAAGCGATCTTGGAAACTAAAAATGTGAAAACAGAAATTACAATAAAAGGAATGTTTGAGGGCTCCTGGGTGGCTCAGTCGGTTAAGCAACTGCTTTCAGCTTGGGTCATGATCCCAGGGTTCTGGGATCGAGTCCCACATCGGGCTCCCTGCTCAAGCAGGGGAGCCTGCTTCTCCCTCTCCTTCTGCCTGCCACTCTCCCTGCTTGTGCTCTCTCTCTCTCTCTCTCTCTCTGACAAATAAATAAATAAATAAATCCTAAAAAAGGAATGTTTGAAAATTAAGTTGGGGAAACAGCCCAGACATTTCATCACAGTTTTTAATTTTTTACTAAAACAAAAATAGTTTATTAAAACAGAGAAGGTGCCTGGGTGGCTCAGTCAGCTAAGCGTCTGACTTTGGCTCAGGTGATGATCTTAGGGTCCTGGGATCAAGGCCTGTGTCAGGTTCCCTGCTCAGTGGGGAGTCTGCTTCTCCCTCTGCCTCTGCCTGCTGCTCCCCCTGCTTGTGCTCTGTCAAGTAAATGAATAAAATCTTAAAAAATTAAAATAAGATCTTTTAATTATTTACTCACTAAATAAATAACTGTCCCATAACTAAAAAGTATCCAGAAGAGACCACAGGCAGTAATTCTCTGACATCAGCCATCTTTTTAGATATGTCTAGAGGCAAGGGAAACAAAGGCAAAAATAAACTATTAGGAGTACATCAAAATAAAAAGCTTCTGCACAGAAAAGGACAATCAGAACTAAAAGACAACCTACTGAATGGGAGAAAATATTTGCAAATGACATATCCAGTAAAGGGTTAGTATCCAATATATATAAAGAACTTAACACCAAACAACCGCAAATAATCCAATTAAAAAACACACAAGATATGAACAGACATTTCTCCAAAGAAGACATACAGATGGCCAAGAGACACATGAAAAGATGCTCACACTCATTGTCAGGAAAATACAAGTCAAAACCACAATAAGATATCACTTCACACCTGTCAGAATGGCTAAAATCAAAAACTCAAGAAACAACAAGTGCTGGTGAGGATGTGGAGAAAAAGGAACCCTCATGCACCATTGGTGGGAATGCAAACTGGTGCAGCCACTATGGAAGACGGTATGGAAGTTCCTCAAAAAATTAAAAATAGCGGGGCACCTGGGTGGCTAATTTGGTTAAGCATCCGACTCTTGATTTCAGCTCAGGTCATGATCTCAAGGTCCTGAGGTCAAGCCCCATGTTGGGCTCTGAACTCAGTGCGGAGTCTGCTTGTCCCTCTCCATCTCCCCTGCTTGCTCTCATGCACTTGCTCTCTCTCTCAAATAATAAATAAAATTTTTTAAAAAATTAAAAATAGAGGGGCACCTGGATGGCTCAGTCAGTTAAGTAGCCAACTCCTGATTTCGGTTCAGGTTGTGATCTCAGTTGGGGTCATAAGATCGAGCCCCATGTTCATCTCCACCCTCAGCATGGAGTCTGCTTGAGATTCTCTTCCTCTGCCCCTCCCCTGGCTCGCTCGTTCTCTCTCTCAAAAAATAATAAATAAATAAAATAAAATAAAACTAGAACTATCCTACAATCTAGTTATTACACTACTGGGTATTTACCCAAAGAATACAAAAATACTAATTCAAAGGGATATGTACCCCTATGATTATTGCAGCATTATTTACAATAGGCAAATTATGGAAGGAGCCCAAGTGTCCACTGAGACATGAAGAGATAAAGAATGGAATATTATTCAGCCATAAGAAAGAATGAAATTTTGCCATTTGTAACAACATGGATGGCTCTAGAGAGTATAATGCTACAAAATAAGCCAGTCAGAGAAAGATAAATACCGTATGATTTCATTCATTATGTGGAATTTAAGAAATAAAACAAATGAACAAAGGGAGGAAAAAGAGAAACCAAAAAAACAGATTAACTATAGAGAACACAGAGATGGTTCAGATGGTTATGGGGCGGGGGGAAGACACGTGAAAAAGCGGAAGGAGATTAAGAGTATACTTAGCTTTTTTGGGAGGTGGGGGGAGAGTCAGGGAGGGAGTGGGATGGAGGGGAGCAGAGTGAGAAGGAGAGAAAATCTTAAGCAGGCTCCATGCCCAGCACAGAGCCTGATGCTCAATCTCAAAACCCTGAGATCATAACCTGAGCTGAAATCAAGAGTCAGATGCTTGACCCACTGAGCCATCCAGACACCCGAAGAATACACTTATCTTGATGAACACTGAGTAACACATGGAACTGCTGAATCACTATATTGTACACCTGAAACTAGTAACACTGTATGTTAACAATACTGAAATTAAATTTTTAAAGAGTTTCATTATCCAGATTAAAAGTTTCCAATAAGTATCTAGCACTATGTAACATATACCAAGACCATCATAAAAAAAATGTAGTATCAGGCATAAAGAGAATACCCTGAAATCTTCCAGTAGAAAACAATAATCAAGAAATACCAAAATCAGGATGCCATTAGCAATACTCTAAAACTGCACTGTTCAAAACGGAAGCCACCAGCCACATGGAGCTATTAATGAGTACTGGAGGCTAGTCCAAATTGAGGCACTCTGTAAGTGCAAAACAAACTCCCCTAAGATCTCAAAGACTTAGTTTTAAAATATTTATTTTTTAATTCTATTTATAAACAATTATTTGATATTGACATGTTGAAATAAGAATATTTTAGATATACTGAACTAAATAAAATATATTTATTAAGCCTAATCCTTTTTATTAGCTTTTATAAATGTGGTTTCTAGCAAATTTAAAATTGCAGACAAGCTCCCGTTTGTGGCTCACACTGTATTTCTATTCAGCAGTGCTGATCTACACCTGGAAGACAATGGAGCATTGTATTCACAATTTGGAAAGAGAGTGATGTCTTACCTAGAAGTTTACACTCAAACAATCAAGTGAGAAGACAAAGTATTCTCAGGATAAGATATCAAAGGAATTTTCCCTATCTTTGTACTCTTTCTCAATGAAAGACAGACTTCACCAAAACAGGGAATAAACAAAAAATGGGAAGTCACTGAACCTAGAAGAGAGAAAGGAAATCCCCAATGTAATGATAAAGGCAAGTTCCCAGACAACTGTGCAGCAGGTCTTAGACCAGTTTAGACTACCAGACCAGACTGGAGGAAAAAGACAGAGGTTTCAGGAGGGATATCTCGAAGAAGAAAACAAAGCCAATTTGTGGTTGTATATATGTGGTTGTATATATGAAGATATGTTCAGTCCTGTGGGAGACTTTGGGAATTAACTAATGAGACAGAAAACTAAGCAAATGGCAAAGTAAGACAGTTGTAACTCCAGAAAAAAAAAGTTGTCAAGAAAGGAAATGTAATCATTACATGCCACATGACTCAATTATGAATAGTTACATGACCATTGTAATGTAAATACAGAACAATGATTTAACCAAAAAGGTTCACATAACTATACTAGGGGCTGGGAGAAAGAAGGGCTATGGGGGTGTTATGGGTGTTGGGGGAGTAAGATGAGAGAGATCAGTTGTAAAAGCTGAATTTTCTTGTACGGTAGGAACTGTAAAAATAATACCTAAAACTAAAAGTATGTAGACACTGAATCTCTCTGCATCTCTCCTCCCACCCCCACCCCATATAGAGAGGTGTATAAAATAAGCATGATATCTAGAAATACAAGAAAATACCAGAATAAATATTCAAAGTTACTCAAAGTAGTTACCTTGAGAATGGGAATCAGGAATAAGAATGGGACAGCAAACCGCATTTTCCCATTAAAAGCCTTACAGTATTATGTGCCTTTTTAGAAGTTACATATACTACTGTGATTAAAATAAAACCATCCCTACAAAAGCAAAAAGAATGCCTACGAGTGCATCCCAATTATGACTTCTGGTTTTATACTCATAACTGGTGGAAAGTAAATTAATACCTTTATTTAACTGAAAAAAGATGGGGTGGGGCTGCTCTAAACTGCATATACATTTTGTTCTCCATAGGCTTATTAAGGGCACTTAGTCTTTCAAAACCAGCTATCAATAAGCCAAAGTACCTTCCCATTAGGTTTTGTGTCCCTCTGTGAAGACCAAATTATACCACAGATCAAACTCTGATCATTTTCAGTGATTCTTTTCGAAGACTATATCAAATAATATTGATTCTAGGTTTCATTTCAAATGAATCATTTAAACCTACAGGTCATAATGCTGATTCCACTTTGGATCAAGTGTATTCTTCACAGTATCTGTAGAATGGCATTGCCCAGATCCATCAACCACCACCTTAGCAAATGGATCAGGAAGTCCTGTGAAAAAAGGGGAAGAATTTTTTTTATTAAAGAATATTATAACATGGAAAATAGAAGATTAATTGTATAAAGCTTACTATTTACTACAAAAGATTATTCCCATTCTTTATAAAAAGTTTAACATTCAGCTATAAATTAAAGTGGTCCATTTTAAAACTAAGATTAAAGTTAATTCTACATTAAATACCAAAAGCTACGTTTTTTTCTTGCTCCTATCTCAAAACATTCTCAGCTTAAACTACAAAAGCCTAGAGGTTACCTCAGAATGTGGAAGTTTTTATACATCTACCAGCCCTTTGACCCGAGGGAGCTTAAAACATTCCTGGCTCTCTTAGAGCCTTCCCAAGGTCTCTCTTAGTAGCACTTAAAGAAACAGCTTATTAAAGGTTTTCACACAAGAACATGGGCTACAGAGAAATCAAATTAGCCAAAAAGTTTTCTTCAATAGCTACCATGAGTGATGAGAAACTGAAATAAAAAAATCTAATACCCTGCCTTAAAAGATCTATCTAATTGGGGAGATAAGAATGCCATGAGGACCGGGGGATGGGTTGGCATGCCTGGGTGGCTCAGTGGGTTAAGCCTCCAACTCTTGGTTTCGGCTCAGGTCATGATCTCAAGGGTTCTGAGACTGAGCCCTGCATCGGGCTCCGCACTTAGCGGGAAGTCTGCTTGAGATTCTCTCTCACCCTCTGCCCCTCCCCCAGCTCATGTTCTCTCTCTCTCTCTCAAGTGAATAAATAAATCTTTTTTTAAAAATGCTGTGGGGGAGAGGGGACCCTGAGAATAAAGAAGGGTTTGTACTGACTATAAAGAAAACACTTTTAATACTCTGTCAGGCACTATTCTAAATGCTTTACATATATTGAATCTCTTATTTTTCACAATAATCCAATAGAGTAAATACTACTATAATCTCTACTGATGAGGAAACTAAGGCAAAAAGGGTTAATTAACTAGTCCAAGGACAAACAGTATATGACAGAGCCAGGGTCTAAAGTTTCGATTTTTAAAGTCATGCACATACAATCTGATTCTCGATTTCATGCTCTTAACCACTATGCTATGTTATACCTCTCACTTACTATGCAGTTCAACAGTGAGCACAAGTAAGAGCTCAGAAAAACAACAGTTGAAGTTTGAACAGTAAATCAAGGTGTGTTTTTTTTGTTTTGTTTTCTTGAGGGGATGGGACTCATTTGGGCTTTAAAGGACAAACAGGAAGATTGCCAAGAAAGGTATGGCAATATTGACAATATTTGAAGGGCTCTGAGGAGTCTAACCAAATCTTCTGTGCTAATGTGTAAAAGTAAATACTGCTGGTAAGAGAGGCTTAAAAGTCAGGAAATGACTGAAATAGGTAACAGGGAGCCACTCTAGGTTCTTAAGCATGGCTGTAAATACATGGTCCTATTTTCCCACTAGTGGTATTCAGGGTAGACTGGAAGAAGGAAAGACTGGTATAGAGAACATATATGAAGCTGTTCTAAGTTCCAAAGAGTAGGATAAAAGAACAGTAAGATGAGTAGACCCTGCACTAGGGAAGTCACATGAAAAGGAAAGTAACAGTGAAATAAGCTACTCTGAAAGATCTGAGTTTATAAGAAACTAAAGTAAAAAATGACACTACAGTTTTCAGCCCTAAGTAACAATGAGAAGAGTGGTCTTTTGCAGGGAAAGAAAAGTTAGAAGGTCGGGGCACCTGGGTGGCTCAGACAGTTAAGCATCTGCCTTCGGCTCGGGTCATGGTCCTGGGATCGAGCCCAACATCGGGCTTCTTGCTCAGCGGGGAGCCTGCTTCTCCCACTCCCTCTGCCTGCCACTCCCCCTGCCTGTACTCTCTGTCAAATAAAAAATAAAAAAATCTTAAAAAAGAAAAAGAAAAGTTACAAGGTAAAACTAAAAATGTTAGAGACAAAAATGACAATTTAGGCATTAGACATATTGGGATAGCAAAGATTTCCTATGGACAGCTGAAAATACTAGAACAAAATGTTGGTAAGTCTTGGTAAGTGAAGAACTTGTACACCTTGATATCTAATTTTTTTTTAAGTCAAGATACCAATGTGCCAAGACTCAAGGCCAGGCAGAAACTGTGTCATCAGTTCCCCAATTCTATGATTCTGTGATCTGTCAACTTCAAATAAGAGAAGATCAAAATTTACGAGTGTTAAGTATTTAAGAACATACTTGGAAGTTAGGGTAATGATATATTTAACTATATATATATTTTTAAGATTTACTTATTTATTTATTTGACACAAAGAGAGAGCACAGAGGAAGCAGCAGGCAGAGGGAGAAGCAGGCTTCCCACAGAGCAGGGAGCCCAATGCGGGGCTCCATCCCAGGACCCTGGGATCATGACCTGAGCCGAAGGCAGCCGCTTAACTGACAGAGCCACCCAGGCGCCCCTATTTAACTATATTCTTGAAGTTTACTGCTACTCATATTATTTCAATAATACCTAATCATTTTTTTTTTTTTTTTTTTAGATTTTATTTACTTATTTGACAGAGAGAGCGAACGAGGGAACACAAGCAGGGGGAGCAGGAGAGGGAGAGGGAGAGGGAGAATCAGGCTTCATGCTGAGCAGCGAGCCCGAACCAAGGCTCGATCCCAAGACCCTGGGATCATGACCTGAGCTGAAGGCAGACGCTTAACGACTGAGCCACCCAGGCGCCCCTAATACCTAATCATTTTTAACTGTGTTTAATGGAAGAGTACTTTTCCCTCTGCCTTCAGTAACATTAAGTATTTTCTCCTGAAGGACTCCATTCTATCTTGTTCTTTTGATCCTACTATCTCAAAAAAACACATAAGTATGTTTGTAAGCAAAAACAAAAACAAAAATCACATTTCTAGCTTTCCTTTTAGATTTTGTTTAGTTATAGAATTAAGGACTAAGGAAAACAACTTTTCCACACAAAAACACTACGTATGGCTTTCAAATCCGTAAGTATGAAATTATCAGTCCCAGCCTCCTACGTTTCTCTTCTGTTAAATAATACAAAATACAAGCTCTACACCCTAACAACAATAAAAATACCTAACTTTCAACTTACCTGATTCTATTACTCCACAAAACTTTAACTTGAGAGCCAAGTTACTGTGATGTCATCAAAAGCTATCAAGTTTTCTGAAGTGAGTGAGACCCCTAGTGGTAAATATAAAGTGGCTAAGGTATTTTCTGTATTTTTAAAAAATTTCTCAATTAGCCCCATCATTTCTGAGTCATATAAAAATAGCTAAAGCTCAAGACTTTTTCGCTACACAAATGTACTTGGGCTGCAAATGATAATGAAACAAAAATTTCCACTTAGAAGTGTGCTACTGTCCAGAGAAAAAGTTTTGTGGGTTTTTTGTTGTTTTTTGTTTTTTTTTTAAGTAGGCTCCATGCCCAGCATGGAGCCCAATCTCAGGGCTTGAACTCATGACCATGAGATCAAGCCCTGAGATCAAGAGTCTAATACTTAACCAAATGAGCCACCCAAGTGCCCCTAAAGCTTTATTTTTGATTGGGGGAAGAAAAAAAAAAATCTTTCACCAACCATCTTGGTTCTGAGTGACTTCAATTTGGCCCTTATATACAGCACCTTAACACAGTAGCTTACACACAAATCTTTTATTTAAATGTTGCATAAAAGAGAAAAAAATACGCTAATGAAAATATTCTTGGGGCACCTGGGTGGCTCAGTTTGTTAAGTGTCTGCCCTGGGCTCAGGTCATGATCTCACGGTCCTGGGATCAAGCCCTACATCGGGCTCTCTGCTCAGCAGGGAGTCTGTTTCTCTCTCTCCCACTCCCCCTGCTTGTGCTCTCTCTTGCGCTCTCTCCCTCTAATAAATAAAAAAAATCTTAAAAAAAACAGTCTTTAAAAAACAGATAATGGATAAACATATATGTGACAAAGAGAATCTAGATTGGATATTCACTATAAAACTCTCTACATGTTCCTATATGTGAGAAATTTTTCCTTCTAAAATTTTGGGGGAAGGGAAGTAACTTATTTTTTAAAGCCAATAAGCTTGCAAACAATTCTAAAAAGTGAATTAGCAAAACTTTTCTCAGGAAGGGTAGTTACCCAAAATAAATAGTATTATCTCAAATTACACAAATTACAACACTTGGCTTTGTATTTTTTCCTATAATTAAATATATACACACATACATATTTCATCAGCCTATAGTCATGCTTGATATTAAAATTTACTTTTCTCATTCAACATGCTTTAAACCTCATTACAAACAAGTACTTTATATTTTGGTATCAATGATAATTGCATTCTGATCAATAAACACTCTCACTCAAATTTCATTAAAAGATTTAAGAAGTACTCTAATGCCTTCTCTGGAATTAATGTGGGCCACCCTCAACTTATAAGCAGATCAAAGACAGATGTAAATCTACCACAGCAGAGGCTGTTCTCACTGTGAACCCGGGAGATAGTCCATCCCTGGCTGAGTGCCTTCGGAAGGCCTCACGATTGGCTTTCCTGTTTCCCTTTCCAGAGCCATCATAATCACATAGTTTCCCCTAATTTTCTTATCCCTGGAGCAAACTCACAACTCTTAAGAATTTTTATTAATTTTTACGCGTACACCAATGAAAAAGAGAAGTTCAAGAAGGAACCCCTTTTTTTCCTAACTACAAGTTAAGGGCAGATAAAGGTCATATAAGTGATAATAATGGGCTCTCCGAGGTTTATCAAAAATTAAAGTAAGATTCCCCTAGATTTTCTAGGAAAACTGAGACAAGGTTATTTGGATATTTTACTGGAGAAGCTGTACCTTGGGACTCTGAAGGAAAGAACGAACTTGGGAAGGAAGGCTGGGAGACAAAATGGAAGATTTTATCTTTAAAACCAGAGCAGATATCTTGGAGAGTGCAGAAGCAACTTTAAGAGTATGCATTCCTCACTTTCCTCCCTTTTTTCCTTGTCACTTGCCTATCTGATCCTATTTGCCACTCTGCAGTCCTACTAGAATAAATCCTACATCAAATCAACCTTTAAGGGTAAAAGAGTATACATTGGTTACTAGCTTATTAGTGACAAGGATGAGATATGTAGTTCAGCAAAAGCCTGTGAAGATATTATTTGGTGGCAGCATGAAGACAGGCCAGTGGCCTCTGCTACTGCAACATGCAGTAGTGGGGTGGAGAGCACACAGTACATAAATTGGAACTGCTTAAAACTTTAACTATGCCCCCAATTACCCTATTTAACTCCTTTCCCATATAAACACAGACACCAGAAAATTTTCTAATTATATAAAGGTTTATAAGATGTTATTTTACAAACTTTAATTTTGGTTCTCTCCGGAAATTTTAAAAGAAAATTTCAAGTGAAAAGAATTAAGTATGATTTTACAAAATGCATCAAGAGCTTATTACTTCTTTTACTCAAACCCCTGAAAATTAAGTAATATCATATTAAATTAGCACTTACAGCTAGTTTTTCCTGGCTGGTAGAACTTGAATTTTAAAATCTAATGAAATGTCTCATTTATAACTTCAAATATTTTACATATAAAATTTTGTTGGCTTATAGTTCCTTACCAAAAATTATATCATTTTTCCTCACTTATATATTTTTAAATTTTCTTTACTCAATAATTTAAAGCTATCATGATATATGATATTACAGGGTAAAGATTCTAAACACACGTGAGGGGTTCTTCCCAATCCTCCCTCACAAAACTTAATCCTAAATAAAGCCACCAAAAAAAAAAAAAATTGACAACTTATTGGCAAAGAGACTGCAAATATGGGAACCAAATGTCTGCTTTGGAGTCTGAGACACAAGAGCATCTATGATTGAATGTGGCAGAGATTTCTTTCCTACACTCTGGAAATTCCAAGCAGGCTGAATGACTTCTCTACTTTCCAAGGAATCATGACTGCCTAAATAAAATTTCCTATAAAATGTTAGAAAAGAAAAAAAAAGTGTTTACAAAATAATCTCTACTTTTCTAGAAACCTAGTAGTATATGCACACCTTCAGTATTCTCCACGCACATCTCATATACACACTTACCACACACGTTTCACACAAATATGTGGGAGGAGTGGATACAAGGAAAGGGACTAAAGCTAAAAAGGCACAAAATCCTCTAAAAAAAAACCCCACAAAACAAAAAACAGTGTTGCCAAAAGGCTCTGACCCAAAGCATTCATAAAACAGTACGGAGTAGATTTCTGAATAGAGAACTCACTTAGCCAGACAATTCTGAAAGTGTTATCCAAAAAGTCTACACACAACATACAAGATTTAAAGTTAATTTACTTACGGAAAAAATCCTTTTTCACCAAGTTTTTTGCACAGAGTACTGTAAAGGAAACAAAAAAATATACATGGAAAGAATTAAAACGGTAAGACTGCACTGTCAAAAGATTCATTTTAAAACAATGAAAACACCAGTGAATAATAATAATAACTACAGCAAAGTATGAAATATGATCACAAATTTTTATTAAAGACTAGCAAAAGACAGCTGAACCAGCAGTTGCAACTTCAGCAATGATCACAGTAACAGCTGAGGGCCAGAAAGTTTATAAATCTGGTATTCTAATAAGAATCGACTTCCAATCAATCTTCCCTCAAGATTTACCTCAGAGTAGCCTGGTGAGAAGGGGAAAACAGTTCTAAGAAGAAAATATGTAAACTTAGGTTGATAAATATATTTTTAAATGAAATACTTTTGTACTGATCATAAATTCGAACTTTCTTGATATAGATGAGATTTTTTTTTTTAAATAACATTGTTATATACTCTTCATCTAACTCTACAGAATTTTACAGGAGATAAATTACCTTCTCCTAAATCATCAGCTCAATGACAAGACAGATTACTGTATCTACCAAAAACTGAAAGTTAATAATATTGAGATAGATATCCCAAATCCACATTCTCTACCTTGCATTAAATTACTACTTTTATGGTGATGGATGCACAACCTTGTGAATATATTAAAAGTATTGAATTGCACACCCTAAAGGGGTGAATTTTATAGTACATGATTATATGTTAACTTAAAAATTACTGCTTATGTAGTCATAAAACTTTTTTTTTTTAAGATTTTATTTTTTTATTTGACAGAGACAGACACAGCAAGAGAAGGAACACAAGCAGGGGGAGTGGGAGAGGGAGAAGCAGGCTTCCCGCGGAGCAGGGAGCCCGACGCGGGGCTTGATCCCAGGACCCCGAGACCGTGACCTGAGCCGAAGGCAGCCGCTCAACAACTGAGCCACCCAGGCGCCCCTAAACTTAACTTCTTTAATTCAAACTTGTTACAAGTGAGAGGAAAACATCAATTTCCATATGTTTCTATTTTATAAAATATCTGTAAATGTAATGTTTGGTTAATTTCTACCCACTTCGGTTTAAATGGTCTGTTCAATTAATTACAACTATTTAAAGTTTAGTGTATAAAGTTCATTTAACATAACAAACCTCAGCAATAAGTCAAAATATATTCACTTTAAAAGTTCAAATAAAAATAATTTTGAAGACAGATGCCACTGGCAAATGGAAGCACGAGATACTGATTTACTAGTCAGAGTTTCTTAGGCCCTTAGAAACAGTTTTATTTTTAAAAACATAAAAACTCAATCATGAAAACTAAGGGCCATAACTAAGAGTACCAAACCACAAACTGGATTTAGAAGAACTTCTCCCTAAACCTTGATTATCACCCTATAAACTGAACAGAATACTCAGGATCAATACATACACAACACATACATGAATCCAAATTATAATCTTCAGTCCTGACGAGGTAATGGCTTTTTTAATCATCAGCCTATGATTCCAGAGTGAAATGATTTCACATGCTACTTTAGAGAAACAGAAAATATATGTGAATTCCCCAACTTCTTATCACTAACCCTACAAACTTCTGTTTTGATACTCATCCTTTTTGCCTTCCTTCCACTTGGTGTCCACCCTCCTACCACTGTCCCCCCCCCCCCCACCGTGGCTGCGTTCTACCAACAGAGCACGAAGACCCCTTTCTCTCCACATCCTCACCGACACCTGTTATTTCTTGTCCTCCTGATTGCAGCCATTCTGACAGGTATGAGGTGATATCTCATTATGGTTTTCATTTACATTTCCCTGAAGGTCAGGGGTATCAAGCATCTTTTCATGGATCTACTGGCCATCTGCATGTCTTCTTTGGAAAAATGTCTACTCGGGTCCTCTGCCCATTTTTTAATAGGATTATCTGTTTTTTGCATGTCGAGTTGTATAAGTTCTTTATATATTTTGGATATTAACCCCTTATCAAACATATCATTTGCAAATATTTTCTCCCATTCGGTAGGTTGACTTTTTGTTTTGTTGATAGTTTCTGTTGCCGTGCAAAAGCTTTTTATTTTGGTATACTCCCAAAAATTTAACTTTGCTTTTGTTTCCCTTGCCTGAGGAGACGTATCTAGAAAAAATGTTTCCACTGTCAAGGTTAAAATTATTGCTTATGTTTTCTTCTAGGAGTTTTATGGTTTCTGGTCTCACATTTAGGTCTGTATGGTATCAGAAAGCGGTCCAGTTTCATTCTTTTGCACGTGGCTGCCCAGTTTTCCTAGTACCATTGGTTAAACAGACTGTCCTTTTCCCACCATATATTTTTTCCTACTTTGTCACAGATTAGTTGACCTTATCAGTGTAAGTTTATTTCTGGGCTCTCTATTCTGTTCCTTTTATCTATGTGTCTATCTTGTGCCAGTACCATACTATTCTGATTACTACAGCTTCGTAGTGTATTTATCCTGAAATCTGGGACTATGATACCCCCTCCAGCTTTGTTCTTCTTTCTCAAGATTGCTTTGACTATTCAGGGTCTCTTGTGGTTCCACACAAATTTTAGTATTATTTCTTCTTCTAGTTCTGTGAAAAATGTTGTTGGTATTTTAATAGGGACTGCATAAAACCTATAGATTGCTTTGGGTAGTATGGACATTTTAACAATATTGGTTCTTACAATCCATGAACATGTAATATCTTTCCGTTTATTTGTGTCACTTTCAATTTCTTCCATCAGTGTTTTACTGTTTCTAGAGTACAGGTCTTTCACCTCCTTGGTTAAGTTGATTCATAGGTATTTTATTCTTTTTGGTGCAATTATAAATGGGATTGTTTTATGTCTCGTTCTCCTACTTCATTATTAGTGTGCAGAAATGCAACAGATTTCTATATATTGGTTTTTTATCCTGCAATTTTACTGAATTCATTTATCAGTTCTAGTAGTTTTTGGCGGAGTCCTTAGATTTTCTATATATATTATCATGTCATCTGCAAATAGTCAAAAGTTTTACTTTCTCCTTACCAATTTGGGTGCCTTTTATTTCTTTTTCTTTTAAAGATTTATTTATTTATTTTTGAGAGAGTGAGAATGAGAGAGAGAGAGAGAGTACATGAGATGGGGGAGGGTTAGAGGGAGAAGCAGGCTCCTCGCCGAGCAGGGAACCCGATGCGGGACTCGATCCCGGGACTCCAGGATCATGACCTGAGCCGAAGGCAGTCGCCTAACCAACTGAGCCACCCAGGCACCCTTTTATTTCTTTTTCTTGTCTGATTGCTGCAGCTAGGAGGACCTCCAGTGCTATACTGAATAAAGGTGGTGAGTAGACATCTTTGTCTTATTCCTGATTTTAGAGTAAAAGCTCTTAATTTTTTCTCCCTCAGGACCAGATGGGCCTAACAGGTATATACAGAACATTCCATTCGAATACATGTTCTTTTCAAGTACACATGGAACATTCTCCAGGATAGATCACAAGTTAGATCACAAAACAGGTCTCAATAAATTCAAAAGGACTGAAATCATATGCACTTTTTCCTACAACAGAAATCAATCACAAGAAAAAATCTGTAAAGAACACAAATATTTGGAGGCTAAATAACATGCTACTAAACAATGAATGTGTCAACCAAGAAATCAAAGAGGAAATCAAAAAATACATGGAGACAAATGAAAATGAAAACACAATGGTCCACAATCTTTGGGATGCAGCAAAAGCTGTTCTAAGAAGAAAGTTTATAGCAATACAGACCTACCTCAAGAAACAAGAAAAATAAACATACAACCTAACTTTACACGTAAAAGAGCTAGAAAAAGAGGAACAAAGTCCAAAGCCTGTCAAAAGAAGGAAATAAAGTTTAGACCAGAAATCAATGAAATAGAAAGAAAGAAAGAAAGAAAGAAAGAAAGAAAGAAAGAAAGAAAGAGAGAGAGAGAAAGAGAGAGAGAAAAAGAAAAAAAAAAAAAAAAAAAAAAAAAGAAAAAGAAAGAAAGAAAAGAAAAAAAAAAGACACGAGAAAAGCTCAATGAAACTGGGAACAAGTTCTTTAAAATAAACAAAATTTTACTTTATCTGGACAAAACTTTAACCAGATTCATCAAGAAAAAGAGAAGACTCAAATAAATAAAATCAGAAATCCTGGAGAGATAACAACCAGCACCGCAGGAATACAAAGGATTATAAGAGACTATTATGAAAAATGTTATGCCAACAAATTGGACAACCTAGAAGAAATGGATAAATTCCTAGAAACAAAGAACCTTCCAAAACTGAATAAGGAAGAAACAGAAAATCTGAACAGACCAAGTACTGATAAAATTGACAACAATCAAAATAATCAAATTTCGATAATAATCAAAAAGCTTCCAACACAAACAGAAATCCAGGACCAGACAGCTTCACCGGTGAATTCTACCAAACATTTAAAGAAAAGTTCTTCTCAAACTATTCCAAAAAAACAAAAGGAAAGCTTCCAAATTCATTCTGCAAGGCCAGCATTCTCCTGATACCAAAACCAGACAAAGACACTTAAAAAAAGAACACCATAGGCCGATATCTCTGATGAACATAGATGCAAAAATCCCCAACAAAATATTAGCAAACCCAATCCAACAATACATTAAAAAAAAAAAAATCATTCACCACGATCAAGTGGGATTTATCCCAGGATGCAAAGGGCAGTTCAATATTCACAAATCAATATGATTAATCACATTAACAAGAGAAAGGATAAAAAACCATATGATCATCTCAACAGATGCAGAAAAAGCACCTGACAAAGTACAATATCCATACATAATAAATACTCTGAACAAAGTAAATTTAGAGTGACTCCACTTCTTCACTTCCCACTAATGCCTTAATTCACTGCAATTTGGTTTCCTCTCTCACCACTGCCCCTACATGGCTTCTCCAAAGCGCCAGGGACATTAACTACTAAATCCATCCAATGGACATCTTTCATTATTATCACACTTGACCCCTGAGGAGCATTTGCCTCCTCTGGAACCCCTCTTTTCTTCTGGT